ACAGGGTTTTGGTCAGTGAAATTTTACCAGTTCTTGAAAAGCTTGTAAATAAAATTTAGACTGAAATGATTTGAATTTTTATACATGTACATGTATACCATTTGAGTTTTGAACCTGTAATAAAATTAGAATAAAGTTTCATTTTGCTTTGTTTTACGTACAAATTGCCAAACAATACAAGATATCAGAATGCCTGATTTATAACAAAACCATAAATTAAATTTATGTCATTATATTAATGACATATACATGTAGCAACCGACGACAACCACTGAATTACGGGATCCTGACTTGTGACAGGCACATAAAGAATGTGGCTGGGTTAAACATTATTTGTGAGCGCTCAACCCTCCCCTAACCTGGGACAGTGGTGTAACAGCACAAAATAAGAACAAACTATAAAAATCAGTTGAAAAATTCTAAACTCATCAGATCAATACAAAGAAGAATAAAATGCTTTGCTGAGCGCAGCTGGATACGACCGCAGAGGACCAATCCTGAACAGTTGGGGCAAAAATGGACACAATATTTGCACTTGATACCGGTCTGAATTTGGATTGTAATTAAATATTTCACACATAATAGATTACTGACACCGAATAACTGTAGTCAAAGAAATTAGAATTGGTTATATGATTTGAATTTATATTCAATTTTTTGCTTTTGTGCAATACACTATGCTGTTGCGAAATTGACCCCCCCCCCCCCCCCAAAAAAAAAAATTGCCCCTACAATTTCTTTTTTACCCCCCTGCCCCCCTGAATTTTTTTTTCACCTCCCCCCCCCCCCCTTTCCAAAAAAAAATTCTTTCCCTCATGATATGGTCATAATCTCAATTCAAATTTCCAATGGAGTTTGCAACCATAATTACCAATTTAAATACATCATAAAAGTCTTAAAATAGAAAAAAAAATCCCCCCCCCCCAAATTTTTTGAACCCCCTTGTGATTCATCACCCCCAAACTCAATCCCAGCCTTCCCTTTGTGGTATGGTACCTTGCAGTACAATTTCAGAGAGATCCATACACTTGAACACAAGTTATTGTCTGGAAACTAAAAAAATGCTTGTTTTTTGGCCCCTTTTTGGCCCCAAATTCCTTAACGTTTAGGGCAATTACCCCCAAACTCAAACCCAGCTTTCCCTTTGTGATATGGAACCTTGTGGTACAATTTCATAAAGATCCATACACTGACACACAAGTTATTGTCCTGAAACTAGAAAAATGCTTGTTTTTTGCCCTTTTTTGGCCCCTAATTCCTAAAATTTTGAGGCAATTACCCCCAAAATCCATCCCAGCCTTCCCTTTGTGGTATGGTACCTTGCAGATCCATACACTTGAACACAAGTTATTGTCTGGAAACTAGAAAAATGCTTGTTTTTTTCCCCTTTTTTGGCCCCTAATTCCTAAAATTTTGAGGCAATTACCCCCAAAATCAATCCCAGCATTCCCTTTGTGATATGGAACCTTGTGGTACAATTTGAGAGAGATCCATACACTAACACACATGTTATTGTCTTGAAGTTACAAAAATGCTTATTTTTGGCCCCTAATTCCTTAACTGTTGGTACCATAACCCCCAAAATCAATCCCAACCTTCCTTTTATGGTATTGAACCTTATGGTAAAATTTCATAGAGATCCATTCATTTAAACTAAAGTTATTGTGCGAAAACCAATGTGTCTTTGGACAACGCCGGAACAACGACGATGCCAACGCCATACCAATATACAAAAACATCAAACATAAACACAGACCGGACATACAAATGTAGCAGGGTATTTATCCATCCCTCATCCCTAACAACAAAAAGGACACTAAGTACAGATCTCAGAGTACTCACAATTACTGACAGCTAGTTCAAAGCCAATAACAACGAACAAAAAAAATCATGTATCTAATACTAAAATATCAACCAGTACACATCCAACATCCAATGGATTTAGTGTAAAGACGTCATTAACAGTCAGAGAAAAACATGACCTTGTGCAATGCCAAAATAAAGGATCAACAGATTGTAGCACTGTTAAAGTGCATATGTGTATAACAAAACTATTAGTATGATTTTAATTTACTGATAACAAAATCAATACCGTAGAAAGGCTTGTATAGTTCGCAGTGGTACATAGTCCGCACCCCCTTCTCCCCACGAAATTTTAGGTAAAAAAACTTTTTGTAACTGTTAGAAAAGGTCTAATGAAATTCCGGTAATTTCAAATCCTGTGCGGTCGTTTGCGGTATTTTCTTGGAAAAACCTGTTTTCCATCATCAAACAGAAGCTGAAACTGCTTGTTAATGATTCTAGAACGCTTCATGATTGTTAAAATAAGTTTAATTCACTTAAAAAAACAATTTAAAAACTTGTGTATGTTTAAACAGGAAGTTTAAAAAGCACGTGTAAAAGAAGAAATTAACCGGTGAGAGTCGAAATCCGTACATAACAGATATCACTATAATACGACTTTGAAAGGAAAACAGTTCCATCCTTTTGTAAAACAGTCTTTAATATATCTATCACATTAATGTTTGAAGGGTCTTAAGCTAATACAAACCATATTAGTCAGTATGAAACACCAAAACGGAACGAACAATAACCGATTTCGTTTTGTAGTTTACAAATTCTAAGCTGGTTTACGGTTGTCTTTTTCACTATGTTTGTATCGTTTCAATCGAGCAGATACCAGTTTATTTCAACCAATGCATTGAAAAGAAACGAGAAATTTGTAATGAAAGGTTTAGTTTTTATATTTATCAGTATTAATTTGATATTGAATAGAAATAACTTATTAATATGGATGAGTTAAAATTATTAGTTTGAAAAATGATAAGAGCGCCCTCTACAATAGAAATAACAAAGATGGCGGAACGTAAACAAACCACCTCGACCGCGAAATTGAAAATTTTCTCTTATTTCTTGCTTATTGTACTCTATAGTCCGCACCCCGTCTGGAAGGTCCAATTTTGGAGAATAAAACCGCGGACTATACAAGCCTTTCTACGGTATTCAAAGATCTAATTACAGTGTTGAATTGGTAACATTTTAGAATAAGTTTATTTAAAGGATTGATAAGTTTACCGGATTGTATATAAATTTCCGGGCTCAGTAAACAACATCACCGTAAAATTTAGGATGTGCTATTCTGTCTGAAATAAGTTTTTTACAGGAACAGCCAAACTTGCAAACCAAATCTTTGTATCTATGGAAGAATTTAGTAAAGGTATTATGTTATTTGTGGTAACGAAATCCCCGACTTCAAAATTTACCAGTAGTACATAGATTATGCTCATTGAAATCTAAAATGTCACCACAGACATGAGCATAACAAACAAGTTGGGATATATAAAGTGCCAGAGGAACATCACCATCCAAAAAAGGAAAATTAACAATAGGAAAGAAATATCATCCCTTTTGTCGTAAATTTTTGTGTAGAGTTTCTGGTGAAAAAATGAAATATCTAAATCTAGGAAAGGACACTTATTGCTGTTAATATTTGATTTATTTAAAGTAAGTTGCTGTGGGTAAATTTCAGCAGTATATTAAGAGAATTCTTGATTATTTAAACGAAAAATATCATCAAGATAACGGTAAGTGTTGTTGAATTTATCAATTAAATAGAATTTAAATGGGCCTTTACTGAGTTTGGCCTTAAACTGTGATTCATAACAGTACAGGAACAAGTCTGCTATTAAAGGGGAACAACTGGTGCCCATAGGAATACCTACAATTTGTCGATAAACTTTATTGCCGAAATGTACATAAATGTTGTCAAGGAGAAAATTTATGGCTGTAATCATCTCATTACACCTCCAGTAAGTATATCTAGCATATTTACCTTTCTAGTTTGAGAAAAAGGCTTTATATGATTTGTAGCAAATAAATTTGCAATTAGATTTCTCAAACGACCATTTAATTAAATAGGAAAACTTTTGTTTGATAAGATTGTGTGGAAGTGTAGTGTAAAGAGTGGAAAGTTAAAACTCTTGTGATTGAATATTTCATAGTTTAAGATAATTATATTATGATCATGTACAGGTTGTGCAGAGATTATGTGTGGGAGTTAAATGGCAATCAAACAAAATAAAATCAAAAGGGTAAGACCAAGGTAGTAAGGATTTCAAATGTATAAGAGAGGCGAAAGTTACCAGAGGGACATTCAAACTCACAAGTCGAAAATAAACTGACAACACCATGGCTAAAAAAGAAAAAGACAAACAATAGTACACAAAACACAACATAGAAAACTAAAGACTGAGCAACACGAACCCCACCAAAAAATGGGGGTGATCTCAGGTGCTCCAGAAGGGTAAGCAGATTCTGCTCCACATAAAGACATGAAGCAGATTGATATATCCACTCATGTAGGTCATTTTGAGAAGTGCTGATCTTGCCCTGATTAGGGTTATTTGCTCATTGTTAATGACTTTCCAGCAACTGTTAAAATATAAAAAATCTTGTGACAGAACTCTTACTCAGTGATATATATCCATAATAGATCATCCAATATTGAGTGAAGATGGTCAATGGTTAAATGACTACCTAATTAAAACCAAAGCCTTTAAAATTAATATTTGGTGATTGTATGCTTATCTCACAGCAAATATCAATCAGCTTTGTAAAATGTGTCCAGGTGAATGTTACTTTGTGTGCTAAAATACTAAAAATAGACTTAGCATATCACTCATGGATTAAACAGAATGTTCATTCATACCATTGAAAATGTTCCCAACCTGAATATAAACTAATAGGATATCAAACTTTTGGTCCATTCATTATTTTACATGACTGGCCAAGAACTAAAAACATGATGCTTCACCAATCTCAGTTGTAGATGTAAATTAAGGGAATGTGGGGAAAACCTTACTGATACAGCAACAAATCAACAACATCTAGAGGGCTATATACAGTCTTGGACATGTCTATACAATTTCTCATACTTATTACAAATGTTTCAGCAATGAATGTGTATACAGGTAAATATGAAGAATATACAAAAGTCAAACTGAAGTGTAAACACTTTATATATATCAAAGACAATGGACACTACATTAAATAGCAGATTAAAATATGTTACATTAAAATTTAGTGTCTACTTTTCTTAGTCTTTGTTGTTTTGAGAATGTTATAGTTGACATAATTGCAGTAATTGCTGGATACAAAAGGAATATAGAAGGCTCTAAATATTCTGTGAGATCTGAAATAGAAGGAAAACAAAATACGTGTATAACTTTATATATCAACAAATTTATCCATTTCTCATTTAAATTCTTTCCTTTATATGGATTCCCTTCCAGTTTTTGCGGAATTTAAAAAGAACAGGAGTGCACACCTTGCAATGTCTATCCTGTTTTACTGATCATGATTGAATTTATGCTGAAAGTCTTTAAGATGAAGGTTTAACTACAGGTATCACAAACTTAACATTACTAATGAAATGAGGTCAAGGTCAGGTGAATCCTGCCAGACAGACGAATTTACCTTACAATCTTTCCATACACTAAATTTAGTTGACATATTGCTTATAGCATCTGAGAAACAGACCTACACATGTAACTATGAAAGCCTAACAATGACCAATGAAGCAATAAATGAGGTCAAGGTATGTTGAGCCTTGCTTGACAGACACCTTACAATAATTCAATACAACAAATAAAGTTGACCTGTTGCTAATAGTATCTAAGAAATGGACCTAACAATGAAAACTTAAAGTTGACCACCTAATTATGAAAATAAGGTCAAGGATATGAAACCTGCCAGATGAATATGTACACCTTATAATCATTCCATACAGAAAATATAGTGTTGACCTATTGTTTATAGTATATGTATTTGAGAATGGGACTGAGAATATAGTTATCCCATTACTCACTATAAATTAGAAAATCATGGATAAAAGAGCAGTTGCAGGACCATGAAAATGAGGTCAAGGGCAACATTTATATGTCAGCAACAAACTTCAGAAAAGTCATATATATACAAGATATGAAGTATCCAGGTCATCTACCTTCTGATATATAAAGCTTTATACAAATTATTTATGCAGCCATCTCCAAATTAGCATGTATATGCTTATTCTCTTTTATATTTTTCACAGGCAAGACAAAAAGGGTAATTGCTGGTAATTTCCAGTTATATTATGATTTTTTGATCATACATAACATTATATATTAAAATTTTCTGAGAAAGTTTCAATTTTGTCAAATTTAGTTATTCTATAACATTATGTCTGGCAATTTTTGCCATTTTGATTTAAAAACTTTTCAAAAAAGTAATTTTTGAACAAGGAATATTATGTTGTTGTACAATGCACTGCCTCTACACAACAACAGAGTTTACTATTGTCACATTTATCATAATTTAAAGTGTACCCATTTATACCTGTTTTATAGAAGATGAAAAAGAAAACTGCTGATATGAAAATTAATTTCTTGCTGGAAACGGTATAATAAAGTATCTTCAAAGTAACTAGTACTGTTTTTAAATCTAATCCACAGATATTTGTATTCTTAAACAACAGAACTTATTTAGGAAATTGTACTAACTCAGAAAGTTTTAATAAAATTTTAAGGACTACGGTTACTCTTTGTGCAAAGCCATCTACCTGTGATCCTATTTCTACTGTAAATTCATTATTATTCTTGGGATACCAATTTTTCGTTGATTTTTTTCTGTACTTGCTGGTACGACAAATACCTCATTTATTATTACATTACACACTTCAATGCCATTTTCACTTTCATGGGCTGACATATAAGAATTTAAGAATGTTGATGCAGTCTTCATATCAAAATTGGCATTTTACAAAATAAACTTACATGGATTAATCTAAAAACAAACTTACTTGGAAGAATCTAAAAATAAACTTACTTGGAAGAATCTAAAAATAAATGAGATGATATAACTTTCCAGTCTTCTCTTTGACTTGAATAGCTTGGCTCTAATTCTGACCGATTAGGTAAATCTAAATCTATCAGGTAATGACATTTATTTGAACTTATCTACAAAAGAAAGATGAAATGCATAATTAAATGTACATACATCTAACATCATAATATGCATATTTCACTTAGCCATTTCACTGATGTAGAAAATCCCATGACTTAGTCAATCAAATGTACTAAATATGCTGCATTTAAAGTACTTCCTGAATCAGTCCTCACTTTTGAAAATCAAAATCAATTTTCCCAATCCAATAAAGCTAAACATGTTTGTCCACTGGAGGCTCCAAAGAGCCTATATTACTCACTTGCCATATAATATATCATATGGACTAATGTTTCAGCCATGTTATAAAAAGAGCATGGTTCTTTAGCATTTGACAGTTCCTCATAATTGTAATATAAAACTGTTGAATAAGTAAAACATTTATCTTAAAAATAATCTTTCATTTGCACCCATTTGAGATTTCTTACTGAATTCATCCTTTTAAACCTCCATCAGAAAGAAATTGGGCTGGAGTTCTGGACTTGATCATTCTCTAAATAAAACTGACGATCTTTTTTCCTGATATAGTTTAGTCAAAAGTTGGTCACTAAGTATGAAATGCATACGTAATCTATAACTTCCTTTGACACAGCTGTAAACTGAAATTATCAAAATATTTAAAAAAAAAAGTCCTGTAATAAAATCAATCATCATTTTCCCTATATCCTGTGTATAGTGGTAGAAGAATGGCCATGTTGGTTTATCAATGAAAACATAAAATTTTAATTTAAATTTAACACTAATAGAATGATTATTGAAAAGAACTATATAACAAATTCTAATCTTTAATACATAAAAAGTGTCTTTGCAACCATACAATTCATACATTCTGCTGATAAAATTTATATTCATTCCTAGCTGTATTTTTTTATCACCTACAAGGCCTTTAGATAGTCATGTTTCTTCTGTTGCCTCAAGTCCCTTGATGCCCAGCAGGTGATTACCATTATTATACATAGTCTGTTCCTACTTACATATCTAGATGTTTCTTCTTTATTCATATCATTAAATTCAGGTGATATTATTTTTGTTGCATCAACACCAGAACTGTATGGTTTTGGAAGCTGACCTTTGAACTCTGATTTGATGAACTGTAAACTCCAGCTAAAATGTAAATGTCTATCATTCCATGCACATTTCAATTGCAGTCAATCTAAAGTTAATAGGAGTTGCTTCCCTTTGCCTGCTAACAAGTATACTATAAGTATCTGTAAATTTCACAGGAATAACCTAACTGCAAGCTTATTAACCACTCAAGTGTGTTTATTCATGTTTGAAAATGATCTTGATAATAATTGTTCTAAAATTTGACAGAAAGAACAAATGCACTGCAGTTTTCCTGTTTTCCCTAATGAACATTCCATTCAATTATCACCCTACAAACAGAGGATTTTAATTGTTTAACTATTGCAGCAGTATACTAAACTGTTCCTTACTTGGTACCCAGGATAAGCACTTTCAATCAAAATGGGGTAACCACATATACAGTCCAATTTAGAATTTCACATACTTTTTCATTGTTCTTGATACCTACCCATACAGGGTAGTTGATATTTTAAAGTGCCTTCCCTGGGTCCCATGTATGTTTTTATGGATCAGCCCTTAGAGACTACAATAGGTTATTGTAACTCAAAATAGTTGTTACTCTTAAATCCAGTATATTGAGTACATCATCTTTTCTTTTTAATGTATATAGAGGGAAAACTTACTTACTTATCACCAGGCATAAAGAAATGACTAGGAAATCTGTACCATTCTTTCCCTACACATACATTGACTGGTTTTTCTGGTGACAGTGTATGTATATTAGGATCACTGGAAATCTTGTTTAGTTCCAGATAAAGGTCAAGAGGGGCATGATAACCTGTGGAAAAAAACAAAGAAAAACATGTGATTAATGATAAATCTTGTACATTTCTTCTGCTATTTAAAATGCTTCGGCAACGTCAATCTTTTATGCATTGATCTTATACTGTAGTATGTAAACAGATGTATTCAAGACACAAGGGGTGAGGGAATAATCAAATTCAATACGTCAAAAATATTCATGCTATTTATGTTTCCTTAGTTCACAAAAAAAAATGATAAAATATCATGTCTTTATAAAACTTTGTTAATAACAAAATATATTTCATCTGGCAGATGAAATGTATATCACCAATCTTTCATCTTCCTATCCTGTTTCTTTGATATTTAACTTTTAACTATCTCTTGTATTAGAGACAAATGCATCATTTTAAATGTGATCATGAATTTACTATCAACATTGTAGGTTAGTTTTATTTTTTTCTTCTGACAACAAATGCAATGTATTGAACCACAGAAAAAAATCAGAACTTTAAAGGGAATATAGAATAAGTCTTTTGTACCATAGTTCTCCATTATTTTTCTTTTTTGTTCAATCTATATAATGCTTCAAATTACTGATTGACAGCATTTTTATCTATATAAAATTCAGGAGATGCGATGTAATTGTCAATGAGACAACTATCCACAAGATTTCAGATGACGTGGATAAAAGCAATTAAAGGTCATTGTACGACCTTCAAAAATGAGGAAAACCCATACTGTATAGTCAGCTATAAAAGGCCACAACATGAAAACTGTGAAACAATTCAAATGAGATAAAATGCTCCCCTGGGCGCAGCTTGATACGACCGTAGAGGTCGAACCCTGAACAGTTGGGGCAAGTATGGACACAACATTTAAGCTTGATACAGCACTGAATTTGGATTGTGATTAAATATTTGACACAGCATAGGTTTCTGACACAGAATGAATGTGGTCTAAGAACTTAAAAAATTTTAATTTACCTATTCAAACCATATCATTATTATTTGCTTTTATATATAAATCAGAAATAACCAATTTAAAATGGAAAATTTTAAAGAAAAAAAAGGAAAAAAAAATCCCCCCCCAAAAAAATTTTTTTTGAACCCCCTTATGATTCATCACCCCAAACTCAATCCCAGCCTTTCCTTTGTGGTATGGTACCTTGCAGTACAATTTCAGAGAGATCCATACACTTGAACACAAGTTATTGTCTGGAAACTAGAAAAATGCTTGTTTTTTTGCCTCTTTTTTGCCCCAAATTCCTAAACGTTTAGGGCAATTACCCCCAAACTCAAACCCAGCTTTCCCTTTGTGATATGGAACCTTGTAGTACAATTTCATAAAGATCCATACACTTACACACAAGTTATTGTCCTGAAACTAGAAAAATGCTTGTTTTTTTGCCCCTTTTTGGCCCCTAATTCCTAAAATTTTGAGGCAATTACCCCCAAAATCAATCCCAGCCTTCCCTTTAAGGTATGGTACCTTGCAGTACAATTTCAGAGAGATCCATACACTTGAACACAAGTTATTGTCTGGAAACTAGAAAAATGCTTATTTTTGGCCCCTTTTTCCTAAAATTTTGAAACAATTACCCCCAAAATCAATTCCAGCATTCCATTTATGATATGGAACCTTGTAGTACAATTTCATAAAGATCCATACACTTACACACAAGTTATTGTCATGAAACTAGAAAAATGCTTGTTTTTTGCCCCTTTTTTTGCCCCTAATTCCTAAAATTTGGAAACAATTACCCCCAAAATCAATTCCAGCATTCCCTTTGTGATATGGAACCTTGTGGTACAATGTCAGAGAGATTCATACACTAACACACAAGTTATGTCTGGAAGTTACAAAAATGCTTATTTTTGGCCCCTTTTTGGCCCCTAATTCCTTAACTGTTGGTACCATAACCCCCAAAATCAATCCCAACCTTCCTTTTGTGGTATTGAACCTTATGGTAAAATTTCATAGAGATCCATTCACTTAAACTAAAGTTAGAGTGCGAAAACCAATGTGTCTTCGGACGACTACGACGACTACGCTGGACGACGACGCCAACGTCATACCAATATATGACCACAAATTTTTTTTACGGTCGTATAAAAAATAATGGCCTTATTTATAAAATACAATTTATGAAAAACAAACATGACAGACAGCAACCATGTACAACCACTGCATTACAAGCTCCTGACATGGGACAGGCACATAAAGAGTGTGGCTGGGTTAAACACCTTTGTGAGCACTAATATAAATTTACCAACTAACCTTGATAAATAGCTATGATTCTTGATACACCTAATATGGAGTAAATAATCCCTGAACTGGCAGAGATCCAGTTTGTAGAAGTTGTATAATGTCCAGATACAGGTTGTGAAAATAAATAACACCAAATTTTCTGAAAAAGTATAATGAACATAACTGGCCTTTTAAGGTAAATGCACAGTAAAATAAATATAAGATAGAACTTTCTAAAACTTTCCTAAGATAGTTTATTTGAACTGAAACTAAAATACAAATGTATATGAGAAAAAAGATCAATTTTGCAATTACAATTTTTTTTCAGATAGTGATGTTCTCCAAGCTACTCTCTATGAGGTGTTCATTTCATAAATTGTAAATTGTAAATAAGTTTTTGGTGGGGTTCGTGTTGCTTAGTCTTTAGTTTTCTATGTTGTGTCATCTGTACTATTATTTGTCTGTTTGTCTTTTTATTTTTGGCCATGGCGTTGTCAGTTTGTTTTCGATCTATGAGTTTGACTGTCCCTCTGGTATCTTTCGTCCCTCTTTTGTAGTTTTTTAGAATTCATTCTAATGTAGCTGATCAATTTAATGAGTATAGTGTTGCATCAACAAATAAATGGGGAATGTGTCCATTGGACACAGATGATGCCCCCACTTGCATATAACGTTATAAAGGGACATAACTTAAGAACAGTAAAAGTGATGCTACCCAAATTTGTACTTGATCTGAGTTTTGTGGTAATAAGCATTGTGTATTAGTTTCATAAAATTTGGTTGAGGCAAACTTAAGTTGGAGAACGGAAACGAAAAATTCAGCAATTTTTCCATTTGTAAACAGGCACAACTCTAGAACTGTTAAACTGACACCACCAAAATTCAAACTTGATCTGTATTTTGTGGTAATAAGCATTGTGTATAAGTTTCATAACATTTGGTTGAAGCAAACTAAAGTAAGAGAACGGAAACTAAAAATTCAGCAGTTTTTCCATTTGTAAAGGGGCATAACTCTAGAACTGTAAAAGTAACTCCACCAAATTTCAAATTTGATCGGTGTTTTGTGGTAATAAGCATTGTGTATAAGATTCATAACATTTGGTTGAGGCAAACTAAAGTTATAGAACGGAAACCTATTTTTAGATGCACAGACCATCATACGGACGGACAGATGTACAGACGGACAAGGATAAAGCTCAATGCCCCCCTCCGCTACGGCATAAAATAATTTCTTACTTATTTTTTGGTAAACCTAAGATAAGTTTAATACCACAGAATCGACCTGATTCACTTCACCAAATGTGGTTTCAACAGTTATTTTTTTTTAAAAGCCTTATCAACTATAGAATTAGAACTGACCACTTGCAAGAAAACAAGTTATCAGATTTGTGATTTCTGCAGTAAAGACTTGTGACCTATGTGAGTCTTAATATTTCTTTTGTGAAATGAACAGAGTATTAAATAGTCTGTTTATACCTGTACATGATCTATAGTAACTGCTCCACACAGTGCAAACAAAGGGTATATAGGAAACAGAAATCGTTCCTCCTGCAAGTAAATTACAAAATGTAGTCATTAAACTTACAGTTAAATAAAAAGACATTTTAAATATATGAGACAGTAAAAAGTTACAACAAAACTGTATTTCAACTCAAAAGTAAATAAGCCATAATATACCGATAAGGTTACATTGAGTCGGAAGCTGTCAAGACTAGTTATATGCTCAAGCTACATGTTTGTTACATGAATGCAGGTCCAAATAGTATCTGAGAACGGAAATCAGAGGTAAACAAAAGTCGTAAATTTATGATTGATGGTGAAGATTGGTCTTTCAGAGAACTTACTGTTTATAACTTTATAGAGACACACTCAGATGCTAAGGGTACTTAGTAGTTCCAAGTAAACTAACATTGTTGTAATAATTAACAAAATTCATTTTTATTCCTTTATATAAAAAAGATAGAGATATACCTTATGTGGTCTTGTAAAGAAGATAAGAATCCAAAGATACAGGGGAGATAATGCTAGCCATCTAGGTATATCTGAAATGACAACAAACGGATATGGTAAATTATTAAGTCAGGGATTTCGTTACCATAAATTACTTAAACATTTACTAAATTCTTTCATAGATACAAAGATTTGATTAGTAAATTTGGTTGTACTTGTAGAAAACTAATTAAAAACGGTATTTCACATCCTAAATTTTACAGTAATATTGTACATGTACTAAAAGTGTGGAAATCACTATGTGATCCATGTAAACTATTTGAACCTTTAAACAAAGTTATTAGTAAAGATTATCTTATTAATATTGTAATAAGATCTTTGAATATTGTTTACATTGACACTAACATTGATTTTGTCATCAAAAAATTAAAACATAACTAAATTTGTAGTCTTTTTGAATGGTTTTTGCGATGTATAAATACACATCCACGTTTATTTTCTATTTGTAATGCAATTCTGTTATTCAATGTTCATTTATTTTGTGTTATATCTCGTCTCACTATTCTTAATATGTACCACCTTTGATCAGTATTTAGTATGATGATAAATTTTCACTTCTGTACTCGTACTGTGAACAATAAATTTATTTATTTTGTAAAAAAATGTTTCCGTACTCCTAACAACAAATTATTATATTTAAATTTACCTGTGTACGTTATTTAATTATACACGATTTTGTCCCAGGTTAGAGTTGACTTTTTGACATTGTTCCTACATCTTTTTTATTAATATTGTATCTATATTGTGTCATAGATCAAACTTATTCGTTCAGTGTATTTTTACTAGTTTTTGTTTATATGTCTTTTTGATCGAGTTAAGCCTTTTCAATTGATATTTTATAGTGTCTTTTTATGTTTTAATGTTACACTACTGTTTCAGGTTAGGGTGAAGGTTGAAGCCTATTAAAACGTTTAAACCCGCTGCATTTGTATGCATCTGTCCTAAGTCAGGAGCCTGTTGTTCAGTGGTTGTTGTTTGTTGGTGTGGTTCATAAGTGTTTCTCGTTTTTTATATAGATTACACTGTTGGTTTTCCTGTTTGAATTGTTTTACACTAGTCATTTTGGGGCCCTTTATAGCTTGCTGTTCGGTGTGAGCCAAGGCTGTACTTTGACCTATAATTGTTTACTTTTTATACATTGTGACTTGGATGGAGACTTGTCTCATTAGCACTCATACCACATTTTCTTATTTATATGAACAATATCACCTTTAAAGAATTACATATGTATGTCTACGACAATACATTGCTAAAATAACAATGGAATTAAAGAAACTAAATTATCACATAAAAGAATAAACAGCTGCGCCATGAGCACATGATACGCCCGTCATCTTGTGTGTAAATTTTTATGCAATAAGCATGAATAGTTTCTGACATACGGCGTGACATGCGAAAACCCCCTTTTTTTTTTTTACAAAAAACTCAATATCTCTAAAATGAAATTTTGAATCAAAACCAAAAAGTATACAGATCTTAAGATTAATATAACTAAGAAGTGTGTAAAATTTTAAGCAATAATCATAAATCGTTTTTGAGATACGGCGCGACATGTGAAAAACCTCTCCCCCTTTTTTTTACAAAATACTCAATAACTCAAAATAAAATTTTGAATCATCACCAAAAAGTATACAGATCTTCAGGTTAATATAACTAAGAAGTGTGTAAAGTTTTAAGCAATAATCATAAACTGTTTTTGAGATACGGCGCGACATGTGAAAAACCCCTCCCCCTTTTTTAACAAAATACTCAATATCTCTAAAATAAAATTTTGAATCATCACCAAAAAGTATACAGATCTTGAGATTAATATAACTAAGAAGTGTGTAAAGTTTTAAGCAATAATCATAAATTATTTTTGAGATACGGCGCGCCATGTGAAAAAAAAACACACACCTGTTTTAGTTACTAAGTCCCGTAACTCAAAAAGTTTTAATCTTATTTTCACCAAAAAGTATACAGATCGTTTGACCATCATAAGAAACAAGTATGTTAAGTTTCATGAAATTTGGATAAGTCATTCTCAAGTTACGGTGCGACATGTTTACGCTGGACAGACAGACGGACAGACGGACAGACAGACGGACAGACGGACAGACAGACGGACGGACGACGGACATTTGTATACCATAATACGTCCCGTCAAAAATTTGATGGGCGTATAAAAATGAAAAATAGATTTCAAAAAGAACAAGGCCAAGTTACCTAATATGAACACTTCATCAGGAAAAAATTTCATGTAAGAAAACCCATTTACACTACTGTTGAATGTATTATAACATTGATGATTGTTGGTTGTTCAATGTCCAGTGGCAACTATTTCATGCATATTCAGAAGAATAAATTAACAATAAATACAATGAGTTGGTCCTGTAAAAGAGGCAATCCAGGAAGACTGGAAAATAAGGGTATATTCGATAGGGACAGAAATTTTGTCTTGCAACAGGCCACCTACATACTCCTAAACGAGTTGCTGCAAGACATTCTCTCTACACAAGGCATCTGATTTAATGTCCCTATTCTGACGGGTGAGGCTGCGTACTTGTACATCCTGCACAGCCAAACCTCCCACTCTGGCAAGGATTTTACTGCTGGTCGGAAGAAGACCAAAAGTGACCATATTTCCATTCCCCAGTCACCCTTGTAGGGTGCTATTAAAGCACAATATATATTCATAAAATAAATAAAATACAGTTACAAAAGAACGGTTTACCTGAATCACCTATACCTACAATCCATTGTACCAACATCTGAAAATATATATCAAATTAAATTATTAATTTTTATAAGGATTGTAAGTGCCTTGATAAATGCTAAAAAAAACATAATGTCATTGTATTATGACATGAATTTGACAGCTAATGACGCTTTAACAAGCATTTTTTTTTCAAACAAATAAAATTTCTTATGAATTGTTAAATTTACTGTGGTAAATTTCTGAAGAAAGCCAATAGTGATATCTAATTTCAATACCTTTTTATAGTCTCATTTGCATTCTCATATGTATTTTACATTATAAGACGTTATGTAATGATAAAAAGTGTATTAACCAATTCATGTCAATGATGATCATCATAAAATCTTTCAAAAATGTATAAACTAATGTTCAATAACACAAATAATATATATATGTATTTGATATTGCATTCAAGAAAAAATATTTTTAGAATATGCATGTAATTAAGTATCAATTTGAAAGCAGTTTGCAAAACAATAATCTGAAAAAATATTTTAACACTTTTTTTGAGTAACTTTTAATCTATAATTTCACTTTTTTGAAGCATTCAAAAAATAATAGAAAAGAATAATGTAGTTTTGCATTACTAGTTAACAACTTACAGCAAATGGTACTGATACTAATGCAAAACAGAAAACCAAATTAAAGTTGAGAAATCCATTTAAGATGTAATATGAAAATGGTTCTACACCTGTAAAAGGAAACAACATTAAATTATCAAACTTACAAAATAAACTTCCGTGCAATTCATAAATAAAGCTATTTTTAAATCCAGTATTTCACCACTAGTTTTTATCTATTTTTTTAATATGTTCTAAGACATTCTTCTTTCCTTTTTCTACAATAATATAAGTGAAATAGTTTCTCCTTTGAATTTTAGCAACTTGTTTTTATATGTTGGCTCAACTTCAATTTGTAACTTAAAAATCTTTATGAGTTGAACACAAATTTCAATTTAAATGTCACAATATAAATCTATATTCATAGTAATTTTCAACATCAAAATATAAAGTTTAAGTCATTACAACCTATTACAGATGATTGAAGGGACCTTTCAAATACTTTTGCCTGGCTTAATGTCCAGGTCCAAAACTAGTAAACACATTGTAGACTACAATATTAAGTGGGGCAATCACTAACTTACCATAAAGATCAGGTCCATGACTAGTAAACACATTGTAGACTACAATATTAAGTGGGGCAATCACCAACTTACCATAAAGATCAGGTCCATGACTAGTAAACACATTGTAGACTACAATATTAAGTGGGGCAATCACTAACTTACCATAAAGATCAGGTCCATGACTAGTAAACACATTGTAGACTACAATATTAAGTGGGGCGATCACTAACTTACCATAAAGATCAGGTCCATGACTAGTAAACACATTGTAGACTACAATATTAAGTGGGGCAAACACTAACTTACCATAAAGATCAGGTCAATGACTAGTAAACACATTGTAGACTGCAATATTAAGTGGGGCGATCACTAACTTACCATAAAGATCAGGTCCATGACTAGTAAACACATTGTAGACTATAATATTAAGTGGGGCGATCACTAACTTACCATAAAGATCAGGTCCATGACTAGTAAACACATTGTAGACTACAATATTAAGTGGGGCGATCACTAACTTACCATAAAGATCAGGTCCATGACTAGTAAACACATTGTAGACTACAATATTAAGTGGGGCAATCACTAACTTACCATAAAGATCAGGTCCATGACTAGTAAACACATTGTAGACTACAATATTAAGTGGGGCAATCACCAACTTACCATAAAGATCAGGTCCATGACTAGTAAACACATTGTAGACTACAATATTAAGTGGGGCAATCACTAACTTACCATAAAGATCAGGTCCATGACTAGTAAACACATTGTAGACTACAATATTAAGTGGGGCAATCACTAACTTACCATAAAGATCAGGTCCATGACTAGTAAACATATTGTAGACTACAATATTAAGTGGGGCAATCACTAACTTACCATACAGATCAGGTCCATGACTAGTAAACACATTGTAGACTACAATATTAAGTGGGGCAATCACCAACTTACCATAAAGATCAGGTCCATGACTAGTAAACACATTGTAGACTACAATATTAAGTGGGGCAATCACTAACTTACCATAAAGATCAGGTCAATGATTAGTAAACACATTGTAGACTGCAATATTAAGTGGGGCAATCACTAACTTACCATAAAGATCAGGTCCATGACTAGTAAACACATTGTAGACTACAATATTAAGTGGGGCAATCACTAACTTACCATAAAGATCAGGTCCATGACTAGTAAACACATTGTAGACTACAATATTAAGTGGGGCGATCACCAACTTACCATAAAGATCAGGTCCATGACTAGTAAACACATTGTAGACTACAATATTAAGTGGGGCAAACACTAACTTACCATAAAGATCAGGTCCATGACTAGTAAACACATTGTAGACTACAATATTAAGTGGGGCAATCACTAACTTACCATAAAGATCAGGTCCATGATTAGTAAACACATTGTAGACTACAATATGAAGTGGGGCAATCACTAACTTACCATAAAGATCAGGTCCATGACTAGTAAACACATTGTAGACTACAATATTAAGTGGGGCAATCACTAACTTACCATAAAGATCAGGTCCATGACTAGTAAACACATTGTAGACTACAATATTAAGTGGGGCAATCACTAACTTACCATAAAGATCAGGTCCATGACTAGTAAACACATTGTAGACTACAATATTAAGTGGGGCAATCACTAACTTACCATAAAGATCAGGTCCATGACTAGTAAACACATTGTAGACTACAATATTAAGTGGGGCAATCACTAATTTACCATAGTACTGGTAGTCAATAAATACCATTGGTATCTAAAAAATAAAATAAAACACTTAAGAAAACATTTATCATTTGTACAAACATTTACAATATCACATTCTTAATTGAGACCAAATTTTCAGATCACACAACCTTTATTTTCTGATAAACAATGCTGTTCCACAGAAATAAATTTATTTCCCAATACATGTAGAGAATGTTGTTTTAGTATTCATCAGACCATATCTATGTCTTCCAAATTAAATGGGAGTTTTAAGTGATTTTTAACAGAATGATGTTTAATAATAGTGGATTTTTTTTTTAATCAAGTGGTTGTGATTGATTGCTGCCTGCCATCTTTGTTTTTTCTGTATTAATCAGGCTGTTGGTTTTCTCTTTTGAATTTTTTCACACTTTGTCATCTTGGGGTCTTTTATAGCTAATAAAGTATAGGTTGTATTCATTGGTGACCTGTAATTGTTCCTATCTTTGTCATACAGAGTTTGATGGATAGTTTTCTCATTAGTAATCAAACCGCATTTCCTTGATATCCTTATATAGAAAACCATGTCAAATTGTGACTTATAGTTTTATATTTCTTTAAGAGACCTATCTTTTTGTAGAATGTATGTTGACTTTAAGATGTATTTTGGTTATTTGTGTTTTGGGGTTGCTTTCTTATTGACATATATCCAACATCTCTTTTCATTTATAACTAGAATGTGTCCACAAGACACAGTTGATGCCCCCCGTTGCATATAACATTATAAAGGGTCAATACTCTCGAACGGTAAAAGTGACGCTACCCAAATTCGAACTTGATCTGAGTTTTGTGGTAAAAAACATTGTGAATAAGTTTCATAACATTTGGTTGAGACAAACTTAAAGTAGAGAACAGAAACGAAAAATTCAGCAATTTTTCCATTTGTAAAGGGCATTACTCAAGAACGGTAAAAGTGACGCCACCAAAAATTCAAACTTGATCTGTGTTTTGTGGTAATGAGCATTGTGTATAAGATTCATAACAGTTGGTTGAGGCAAACTTAAGTTAGAGAATGGAAATAAAAATCAGCAATTTTTCCATTTGTAAAGGGGCATAACTCTAGAACTGTAAAAGTAACGCCACCCAAATTCAAACTTGATCTGTGTTTTGTGGTAATAAGCATTATGTATAAGTTTCATAACATTTGGTTGAGGCAAACTAAAGTTAGACAACGGAAACCAATTTCAGGACGTACAGATGGACGGACGAGGGTAAAACTTAATGCCTCCTCCCGTAGCGGAGGCATAAAAATTGTATGCATAATACTAGAAATACACTTCAGAAAACTGTTTGTTTTAGATATGTAAGACAATCAACAAAGTTACTATATGTGAATAGTCACAGACATATGGGTACTTCCAGTTGCATATGTGCTTTTAAACTCTTGTTTTCAAAAAGAAGTTTGAATAGACAAGAATTCTAAAATATCTTACCGAAAATATTAACAGAGCAATTAAACTGTGTGAAATAAGCAGTGTCAATTTTTTTCTTCTGAACACTAAATCAGCTGCAATAGGAATCCTGCAAACAGAAAAGAAATGCAATTGTTATCAGAGAGATGAGTGTCAACTTTTTGCTGCATTTTTCAAAAGTAGCAATTTGTTTTACTATATTTACATGTAAATATGAGTTGAGTTTACTTATTTGGAAAACTAAAGTATTTCTTTATTAATTCAAAAGAATATGAAATAAAGAATCAGGCCTCACAACTGTCTTTATTAAAGATTTCAATCCAAAAGCTGCTAAAAAATCAATGATTCACCGTATTAAGTACTTCTAAAATACCTAATAAACAATTTGTTCAAAGTTAATTGGAACAATGTTAAAATATGACAGAGGATGGGGATCACATTATACTGACTGTCTAAACAGGCTTATGGCCTTGTGCTTGCCTAGAGTGTGGGATGTTGTGTGTTTCAATCAAGCAGAGTCAAACCAAACACTTTAAAATTGCTGTTTTCAGCTAAGCACAAGGCAGCTTTGAGTAAGAGCAAAGACTGGTTGGCCTCGGAGTCAAATAATTGGGACTTGGTTAGGTGACACGTCTTCTTGCAGATGTTAAAAATCCAGCTCAGCATGTTGGTCCAGTGCAAAGCAGGGTTCATATTCATATCACATCAACATAATCTGGTCCTGACATTCATGTAATATTTGCCACTTAACAATAATTCATCATCAAAAGGTTCAACATTCTTTCATAAGAGATTTTAAGGATGTACACCTCTGCGGAGCCAAAAAATTTTTTTCTTAAGCTGATTTTGGGGTTTATATGACAGAAAGAAAGTAATTGACGAAGAAAAAATCATATGGTGGTGCACTTCTCTTTTTGCTACAGCCATTTGAAAGTACCTCATTTGTAATGATTTTCCCATTTTCATTAATTTTTACCCATTTTTGGGCTATTATCATGAAAATAAATTGCTTTGCCAAGCGAAGCTGGATACGCCCGCAGAGGTCCAACCCTGAACAGTTGGGGCAAAAATGGACACAATATTCGCGCTTGATACAGGTCTGAATTTGCATTGTAACTAAATATTTGACACATAAAAGGTTTCTGACACAGAATAACTGTAGTCAAAGAACTTAGAATTGGTTATATGATTTTAATTTATATTCAATTTTTGCTTTTGTGCAATACACTTTGCTGTTGCAAATTGACCCCCCCCCCCCCTCCCCCCACAAAAAAAAATAAATAATTTACCCCCCCTTTTTCTCAATTCAAATTTCCAATGGAGTTTGCAATCATAATTACCCATTTAAATTTACCATAGTGCTAACTTAATCTTTTTTATAATAGAATTTAAAATATGGTGTCAAATCTTTCATATGGATTTTTTTGTAAAAAACTTTTGCAGATATTTTTACTGGTCTTCCTTTATAAATATGCATTTCTTTAAACATAATTTAAAAGCAGTGTAAGGGAGGTAATCAAAACGTATTTGGAATACCTCCCTTACACTGCTTTTAAATTGTCTTAATTGTTCATTCACCATTACTTTATACATAATTCAAAAGCAGTGTAAGGGATGTAATTCAAATGATGTATTTGAATTACCTCCCTTACACTGCTTTAAATTATGTTTTATACTAAAGAATTTGTTCATTGACCAGGACACCCTTGTTTTTCCCCCTTTTTTGCCCCTAATTCCTAAACGGTTTGAGCCATAACCCCCCAAAGCAAATCCTAACCATCCCTTTGTGGTATGGAAACTTGTGGTATAATTTCAGAGAGATCCATACACCGTTCCACAAGTTATTGTCTGGAAACTAGAAAAATGCTTATTTTTGGCCCCTAATTCCTTATCTGTTGGTACCATAACCCCCAAAATCAATCCCAACCTTCCTTTTGTGGTATAGAACCTTATGGTAAAATTTCATAGAGATCCATTCACTTAAACTAAAGTTATTGTGCGACAACCAATGTGTCTTCCGACGACGATGACACCAACGTCATACCAATATACGACCACAAAAATTTTTTGTAATCGTATAAAAATCAGTTTCACAATTAAAACTTTTTTTCATACTTTCGCTAAAGATGAAGTGGACCAATCTGAATAAATTTACCGTAAAATACCTAAAGGTAGGTGTTAATATTAGAAAGATTTATAAAATTTTGTTGCTTTTTTGTGTCAAATTGACCATGCTGTATTTTTATACTAAAAAGCATATTATTTCAACTTCTTTGTTATAAATGATCGAAAAAATACATTTCTAAGAATTTTGAAAAGAAAAAAATAATATGGGATGTACATTTTTTTGGTAAAATAATTTCTTTGTACCCCTCACCCATGTTATCAACATTTTGGCTGATGACAATGATCGGATTGGTTATAAAATTTGAAAATAAATACAACTTATTGGAAGTACACAATTTTTTCACAGAGTTTAGTTTGATTATGATATTTTTTAAATTCATTAATATTTTCCACTTGCATCATATATTTTGGGAATAATTCCCGAACGAGATTTCAACAAAAATGAAATATCAGAAGAATAAATCCTTAAAAAATGTTTGCCATCAAAGACATTTGAGTCATCTTGAATGTCCCACTGGCACTGAATGATAACTTTAAATTAACCATCATTGTCTTATTTCAACCAGCTATTGCTGACAAAAATTGTGTAATGCTGATGAAAATTGAAGAAGCCGACTTTTATTCCATCACCTACTTTTAAAAATCAATCTATACTAGAAGGACTTTCTTTCTAACTCTTGGAAGCCACAACATTTTGTTGAAATATTACCTGAAGTATATTCAACTAATTTTTAAAAGTGTTATACTTTCAAAAGAGTGTCCAAAAGTGGTTTAAATATTCGGTTTTATCAAGCCCATCAATATCTTATTATGGACTTTATCAGACAAAAATCCTTTCATTGCTCTTTTAAAAAAATATCTTGCAAGGATAAACCACTGGAAAATTTGAGAAAAGTTTATGTAATTTGTCTTTTAAGACACATATTAAGACATACCCTAAAATAGATGCAAATGGCCATCCTAATATTGAACTTGCTGCTACTGCTGCTATGGCTATCTGTAAGTAAAAGAAGTTCTAACAGCTATTCTATAGGATTGTTGACTGTAAATTGTTGATGTAGATATAAACTCAATTTCATACAAGTATCAAAATTTAAGTATTTAATCATAACTTGTACAGGCAATATTATACATTCTAAGCTAACATTTTATGAAGTTTAGGTGTTTCAAACTAACATGCTTCAAAATTGAATAATGTTTCAAATTCATCCTAGAGGTGGTAGAAATTACAACGGTTAAGAGAATTCGCAAATAATTGATTGCTATAGATTCTAGATTGCTATACAAAATCAGTATGATATCAATTGAAATTATACTATATTTCATATAAATAAATTTCTCTAAATCTTTTCTTATCAATAATATCTTTCCCAAAATATTGTTTATTTTTTTATAAAGAATATGTGTAATTTACTTCTTCTCCAGTTTTCCTAGGTTGCAATTCAAATATCAAGTTTCTGTGTCATCTTCTTGATTTGCCATCAAGGCAATTTGAGAAAAAACAAGCATTCTGTGAGTATTGCATGGCAATACATAGTCCCCTACCGTTTAAAAATTCATTGTAATGGAGCAAACCTACCACTAAATTCTTCAAACAATTTACTAAAGAAAAGGAAAAAAATCCAAAATGTCATTTATCTTAATACAATGTCTTTTACAAATCTTAAAAAAAAAAAAGAGTTATTTCCCTTTGAAGAGAAATCTAGTAACTAATAAGTATTTCATCAAAAATTTAATTCTAGGGAAAGTTAAAAATGAGTTAATTCCCTTTGAACAGAAATCTAGTAATTAATAAGTATTTCATCAATTCTAGGGAAAGGGCTTTAACTGAACAAGGAGAAAAGCTAAAATCGTGAAAATCGAACTTGACCTGTAACTTGTCATGATAAAACAATACACCAAATATCAAATCAATATCTTCAAGCATGAAGAAAAAAAGTCTGGAAACTGATTTGCCAGACTGAGGGATGGACAGACGGACGGATGGACAGACAGACAGACGGACAGAGTGCAAACCTAAAGTCCCCTTTGACTTCTTCGGTAGGGGACTAAAAACACACATACACATGATTAAGTCATACCAAATGCTGCAGAATACCAGAATGTTGTCCTTAGATACACAGATTCTACCTAAAAAGTAACCTTTACATATCTATCTCAGTTCTCAACTGTTTTATTTGAAATATCTACATTTAGTCATGAGTGGAGCAACATATCTCACTTAAAAGCGGTTGCAGAATTTATATATTTCATATATTAAGACAGCACTATGGTTATTTTCATTTTTGTTCTCTTTTTGTGTGGATTATCTCCCATGACTTAAAAATGTGTACATTGTTCAAATACTAGTATAATACTCACAGAATATTTACCAAGAAACCATGCACCCATGGAAATGAATGTCAGGTACATACAAAAGCTGCTTGGTAGGAATGCTGTTGAAGATATAAACATTCCAGCACTCATTATGAGAAATAACAGTGTTATCCGTCCTGTGTTGGTACCAAAATGTTTACAAATACCTCTGAAATACAAATATCAACTGATAAAATTCTATCAAAAAAACAATTCTTTAATTGGAATTTTGGTAAACTAATAGAAATCTGTAAAACCAAACAATAGTTAACTATACTATGTTCTCCTTTTGTATTTTAGATCTTAAATTCCGTTTAAAATTATTTCACCTTCTTTTTCTAGAAATGAATATCAAATAATGATCCTTTTTAATCTTTGTATATGTTAGTCATGGTTAAAGGAGAAGGTTCACGAAGGGTTAAAATTGGCCCTAAATTTTGGATGTTTTTTAAATCGAACCAAAAAATTACAAATATCACATAGATATACTTCTGATAATACTATTAAGACAAAAATATATTTTTTTTGGCACCTTCCTTTGAAATTTATGAAGCTATGACCCCTTGAATAAACATTATTTATATTTTAAGGTCAATTTTGGTGATTTTTTTCCATAATTTTGATCGTTTTTGGCATAATTAACCTTGGCCTCCATCTACGATCCAAAAAGTTTTTATATCGATGAATTCTATATCAAAATTGGAATCTTTTGGTTACAAAACATTTTGGATCGTAGGTGGCGGCCAAGGTTTTTCTAAAGCTTTTAGATGTGAAAATTGCACAAAATCATCATATCTTGACAAATTGTCCAAAATGGGCTTACTTTGGAGAATATTATGTACTTTTATGAAAAGAATTGATTTGTTTAGCAATAGGGCTTTTGAAATAGACCAACTTAGGAACCCAATTGTGACCTTTTTGTTGTTTTATGATAAAGTTGATATTTTAGGCCATTTTGTGCCTTGTGAACCTTGTCCTTTGAGCAAAAGTCGAATCCACTTGTATCACATATGTACATCAACACATAGTTAATCATATGTAATTTTTTACGTACATGTATAATATTGGTGCCTACTGCATTAACTTGGTGACCAAATGAAGAATTTTACCAGGAATGGTCTGCAAGTCATTCTAGTCAAGTTATTCTTTACAAACTTTGAAGATAATGTCTCCACTTACTTGTAGAAATAAACTTCTGCAGCAGAGCAACACACAGCCAAAATACATCTCAGAAGATAAAACAGGACTACCTGTAAATTACAACATGGTTAAAATATATGTGGTAAAATAGTTGGGTATATTGAATCAAATACTTACACATGTACTGAAAAAAGTGGCAGGGCAACCCTTTTATTTAAGGAAAGTTTTCTATATGAATTGGATTTTCAATAAAACAGCATAAGTGTGATATTCACCGTGCTAAACGTCATATGCTTTTACCTGTATAATAATGATGAAATGTTTGAGTACAATTGGTTTTGGTAAATAACTGTCATAAAAAACATTTTTTTTCTCTCAGAATATGAAATAAAACTCTTACTGTCATTTCTTTCGGTAAATATGTGGTTCAATGAAAAACTTATATAAATTTACTTTTGCCACTGGCCTCAGTGAATATCACTTTTTTTAAAAGTCAATCAAACCACATATTTACCTCATTAAAAGACAATAATTGTATAATATTCCATAAAATATACATAGTTAAAGATGTAAACTTGTGTTTTTTTAAGCAAACTTAAAAAATGACCACCTCCTAAAACATGCAAACCGGTGCTAGGGACCGTCTAAAACTTGCAGTGAAGTGAGAGTTTTTACACCGTGTCAAACACCTCACTGTGACTTTAAGATGAAGAACAGCAATAAAAGCACTGTTCCTTTGCTTTTTGTGTATTTTTTGCTTTGCATGTACTGATCTTGTGTCATGTATAGTTACCCCATATCCTTTGTTTTTTTTCATCAAATAATCTCAAATTACGCAAAATATAAAAGTATATGAAATCATTTCAATTAAGGAATCTTCATGTATACCATGGCTTCCAAAATAGTCGTTTAATCCAGACATCATCATGACCCGTAAAATTTGTTTTGACCTGCTTACTGACATCAAATGTGGGTTTGCCACTTTAACATTTAATTCACATTAAATTGTAGTAATACTATCTTAAGGTCAAACTACATTGTGTTTAGTGACTGACAATCAATGGTTTTTACAGTTGGTAATAAAAGCTCAAAATTATTAATATATACAAACAGAATACCTTATTGGTCCCAAAGATAAAGTGGATGAGTTTCAGTGGAAATCCATGTATCCATAGATATGCATAAGATCTAATGGCATATTGTGGTGCATATTCCCAGGTCTGAAAACCCTTCTTAAATAACAAGTAGTGCATCTGAAAATATGTAAATTATTTATAATTTACTATTTAAAATGTGGTTTGCAGTTTTCAAAGCCCAGAATTCAATTTGTAATACTTTAACTAATATAAATTCAATTTGATATAAAAATAAAGAGATGTGGTATGACTGCCAATGAGACAACTATCCACCAGAGTTCAAATGAAAAACAATGTAAGCAATTATCATGATTATAGGCCACCTAATTAAGTCTCATTCTCAAAATGATCTTCTTTGTTGACAATTTTACCAAATTCATTAACATGGTCATTGAAGTTTGAAAGAAGGATTTGCATTGTTATGATTTTCCATTTATTATTATTAATATACACAGTGTAAGAGATTTAAGTTTGATAATGATGACAATAACGTATATATCATTCTGAAATATTTATAACATATAGTCTTAACAAACTATCTTACTGGTTCCCAATAATTAAAAGTCTCATCACAGTCCCCTACAATATTCCAGACAGCAGCACAAAGTCTGATCGATAGAAGTAATTTGAAAGATGTGTAAGCTCCAGGCATCCATGGTTGACTGTAACTAACAGATGAAGAAATTTCCTGTCTGAAAAGTAAGTATAATATAGTAAATAAGGTTACCTGGGAGGTGGGCAAATAATCTGCATGGAAATGAGATGTGCCAATGCTAATACATCTGCATACCAAATATCATTGACCTACCACTAATAGTTCCCTTTAACTGACCTAATCACAAACTAATACATGCAAACTAAGCTAAAGTTTCAAAGTCAACAGACCATGACTGAGGGGGCAAGGCAAAATAAACTCCATGGAAATGAGATGTGCCAATGCTTATAACACTGCATACCAAATAAAATTGACCTACCACTAATGGTTCCCCTTAAACTGACATAATCGCAAACTTGTACATGCAAACTAAGCTAAAGTTTCAAAGTCAACAGACCATGACTGAGGGGGCAAGGCAAAATAATCTCCATGGAAATGAGATGTGCCAATGCTTATAACACTGCATACCAAATATAATTGACCTACCACTAATGGTTCCCCTTAAATTGACCTAATCGCAAACTTGTACATGTTACATGTGTAAACTAAGCGAAAGTTTCAAATTCAATAGATCATGACTGAGGGGGCAGGGCCAAACAATCTCTATCGAAAAGAGATGTACCAATGCTAATACAACTGCATACCAAATATCCTTGACCTACCACTAGTGGTTCCCCATAAATGTGACCTAATCACAAACTAATGCATTTAATTTCGTCGACCCGTGACAATAAGTACTGTATTGATTGGTTGATTTGTTCATTGTTGCACCCTTAACGTCCAGTAGCAATGATTTTACGCACATTCAGAACGAAATATGGTATACAGAGAAGGTTATCTATTGGTTGTTTGTGTCTTAAAATGAAATAATTGGTCTTGCATGGTCATGATGGTGCAAATTCCTATGTAAATATAATAAATTGCTTTGCCGAGCGCAGCTGGATACGACCGCAGAGGTCCAACCCTGAACAGTTGGGGCAAAAATGGACGCAATATTCACGCTTGATACAGGTCTGAATTTGGATTGTAATTAAATATTTGACACATAAAAGGTTTCTGACACAGAATAAATGTAGTCAAAGAACTTAGAATTGGTTATATGATTTGAATTTATATTCAATTCTTTGCTTTTGTGCAATACACTTTGTTGTTGCGAATTGACCCCCCTTCCCCCACAAAAAATATAAAAAATTTCCAATGGAGTTTGCAACCATAATTACCCATTTTAATGTACCATAGTGCTAACTTAATCTATTTTTTAATAGAATTTTAAATATGGTGTCAAATCTTTCATATGGATTTTTTTGTAAAAAAAAAAAAAGATGCAACATTTGCAGATATTTTTACTGTTCTTCCTTTATAAATATGCATTTCTTTAAACATAATTTAAAAGCAGTGTAAGGGAGGTAATCAAAACGTATTTGGATTACCTCCCTTACACTGCTTTTAAATTGTCTTAATTGTTCATTAACCATTACTTTATACATAATTTAAAAGCAGTGTAAGGGAGGTAATTCAAATGATGTATTTGAATTACCTCCCTTACACTGCTTTAAATTATGTTTTGTACTAAAGTATTTGTCCATTAACCAGGACATCCTTGTTTTTCCCCCTTTTTTGCCCCTCAATTCCTAAACGGTTTGAGTCATAACCACCCAAAGCAAATCCTAACCATCCCTTTGTGGTATGGAAACTTGTGGTATAATTTCAGAGAGATCCATACACCGTTCCACAAGTTATTGTCTGGAAACTAGAAAAATGCTTATTGTTGGCCCCTAATTCCTTAACTGTTGGTACCATAACCCCCAAAATCAATCCCAACTTTCCTTTTGTGGTATTGAACCTTATGGTAAAATTTCATAGAGATCCATTCACTTAAACTAAAGTTATTGTGAGAAAACCAATGTGTCTTCGGACGACGACAACGACGCTGACGACGACGTCATACCAATATACAACCAAAAAAATTTTTGGCGGTCGTATAAAAATACATTAAATCAGTGATCTGGAAGGATTTTTTCAGTATAGGCCCAGGGCCCCAAAAAAAATTCAATTGACCATTTTTAGAATTAATGGGTCATGTTGTCAAATGAATGGGACATTTGTTTATAACAAAAACTAAAAAAGTGTATGTTTCAGCAAGGAGGTACTAACCTGTGTGATTCTAATTGATATTGTTCCTGTGCTTTTGTAGTTTCAGTGAATAAATGTTAGTTTAGTTCATGGTGATTTATGTGACTAATACTGACTTGTATGTGTTCATGATATGTAACATCACTCAGAAATTAACACTTTATGACTTATAATAAAAACTATAGAACTGAACAGCATATGACCAAACCCAACAACACTTCAATGAACAGAATCAAGATTAAGGAAATGCTGAGATCAAGATTGTACTGGTTTTAAATGTTGTGCAGCCTAATGCCAGAGGATTTTTCTTGACAGCTTTTTGTCAAGATTTGTAGTACATTTTGCTGCCATCATACATGGTCCTTTACTATAAGACTTTATAGGTCCATATTGTTTGCTTTCAACGTTTTTTAACGAATACTTTACTTAGTTTACTATGGATGTGGTTCAGCATTGATAGTAAAAAAAAAATCTGATAAAAAACGTTGAAAGCAAACGATATGGACCTAGTGCTACGAAGTCTTATATTAATAGGACTACCATCATACAGTAACCAGGGCCATAACTCCCCCAAAACGGGCGATATTGACGAGAATTTTTATTTACAATGTTAATATATACAACGGTACCGTCGCCTTATTCATGTTCAAGTTCCTTTAACATTAAATTTGGGTCTTTGTCGACTGCCATACTTTGTCCAAAGTTCCGTATCTGAGGATGTTTCAGGCATTTCCACAGCACTTTTATTATTTTTATCGCGACCAACAAAAGAAAGTAACGTTTTTTGGCCAGGCTAAGCAACAATTCGCTGTTTCTTTGGAGGCATGTTTACAAAATTTATAAACAAACCAAAGACCAAAGAATTGACAAGGACAGTTCAGATATACCACATGTTGCCTTTTGTAAACATGAAGCAAAACGCCAGAGACGGCCAAAAAATGTAGGTGGTGCTCCTGTCATTGGAGTGAAAAACAACACCGTTTTGTAACACAAATATGGCGACACGAAACATGATCGGAAATACATTTTACGATATTAAAACGTTTAGATTAAATATAAAAAAACATTTTGTAAAGTTATATGAGGCATTGTATAATTATGATCTTTCTTTTTTTAAACAATGAATCTGTGTTTCACATATCACCAATATCGACATGATCGATGTTGATACAAATTTCAATGATTTACAAATATATCATACAAAATACTCTTAGACATGTATTAAGTCTTTATGGTACAAAATGGTTTATGCAATTGGCCCATATGGTACCATGCAAGATCAGAATAAGTGCACCCTCTAAAAATAGAAACGGATAGATATGCAAAAAAACTATATAGATAAATCACAAAGATTGTGTAAAAATGCACGTTGGATAAAGTTGAAGATGAAGAACATTTTATATGTCAATGTCCCCATTATTATCTCTTGAGAAAAGAGTTATATGAGAAAATTAAATAAATTGCTATCACGTCATCGTAAAATTTTCGAAATGTTAAGCACAAGTGCCAAGTTTAATTGGCTTTTTAATCAAGAAAGCTTGGAGCACAGACAACTGAGGTCCTGGTTCAAGTCCTAGAGGTGACAACATAATTTTTTAGTTAGAATCATGCTTTCCAGTTACAATCAACTAATTCATGTTATACTTAGTTTAATCTGAGATTACTATAACACATGGTTATAGTCTCATGATTAATCTATTTGTGATCTTTTTTACCATGTTTACATTTGTGTTTGAAAATTATAGTTTTTAATACTTTCCCCATTGTAATTATTCTACTAATTCTGTAATTCTTGGTGACATCGTTGGCAAATTGAAAATTCTTTGTTTGAAAAATATACCTTAGAGGTTCGTGTGGAATTATATTTGATGTTTTGTGGTGTTTTTCGATAATTTTTCGTTGTTTCATGTTTTTCTCATGGAGGCTGTCATGTTGAAATCCCGCAGTGAATTAATATTCTATTTTCAAAAATAAAATGATATGAGTCTATATTTCTTATGCATTTTTTACCATTGGAAACTTCATAAATTGAAAAAGCTTAGAAATCTCTATAACTAAAGATAAAAGAATAATGAAGCGTGGACTAAAAATAGGACAGTTTGAAATGACCTTCACCGAAGCTTCTTCAAACACAGTTGAAACATGGCATTTGTGGCAATCCGAAGATTGCAAGGTTTAATCCCGAAGAACTCTATCAATCTTCGGTGTCATGCACCTTCACAAAGGGCATGGTATTCTGTGGCAGCAGTGGGATCGTCACAACATACTCTTAGTGTGAAAAATAAGATAGATTCAACAAAAGAAAAGGCTTTACTTGGAGGAGGCATAAAAAGAATAGAAAAACAGCACCTCAAGGTTACTTTACATCAAACGCATTAAAAAAAAAACAATATTTCCATTTGCACCAGACACAAACTAAACAGTATAATGTTGATTTTCTTGATTTATAGATATGTTGCCTGGCCTTATTTTTTGTAACTGGAGCATGATTCTTATAATGAAAATCACATTATCTCCTCCGAGACCTGAACCTGGTACCTATATGTTACAAGGCAGCGCTCTAACCTACTGAGCTAAAAAAGTACTTCCTTAGCTCAACCGCTTACAGCTGACTAATTATCTACTATTGAAGGGAAGCAATCCCGTCACATTTTAAACTTTAGCTAGAAATATGGTCACCTCAACAAAGTCTTCCACCTGGCAGTATAAAACCATTGCCAAAGTAAAGTGTCTGTTTGGCTTTATTGGATGTATAAATTTCAGCCACCTCAAGTCAGAACTGGGATGTATGTTATATCTGATGCCTCATGAGGCTAACTTTCCACACTCTGCCCATAAAAGAACCCTTGGATCAACTAATTTTTTTATTCCTATCAATCATGATCATAAAACATTGCTGCCATGGCTAAAATAAGAACACATAGATTAAATGCATTAACTCTTAAATCTTGAGTTTGTTAATTAATCCAAAATTATGAAAGATTTATAAGTAAAAACTGTAAAAGCAAAAAATTATCAGCAATACAAGATCTTCATCTGATAACACTATAATCTATGAACAACTTATTTTCTTCTGTGTAATATTCTGGAGGGTGTAATATTCTGAAGGGCAAAGGGGCAAATGTTTTTGAACAATTTTTAAAAATTTACACTGGTTATTTTCTTGGCAACAATTTTTTTAAGCGAGCAGGCTATAAACAGTGCTCCTTGCTTAAAAAATTTGTTGCAAGGAAAAAACCTTCATATTGTGACTTTCAATATGGAAAATAATCTACCATTGTTGCTGTGACTTACCAGTTATTATTTCCCATTGTCCCTAGAGGGCAGGGTAGACAACTGACCTAATAATCAAGTGAATATTTTGATAGAACAAGATAGCAGTTACAAAAACTGATATGTTGAGGAAAAGTTTATTGTGAAGAAATCCTCATTTAATAATATGTTAGGGCAGATGCTCAAAATAAGTTTAATCCTAATATACATTGTTTTTATCTAATCAACATTACAGTATAAAAAGTTTCACTCATGATTGATCAAGAGATTTCTTAATGTTTAATGTTAATAAAGGGTCAAAGGTATTGGAAATTTAAACTTTGTTTTTATTATTTATAAGAAAAAAAGGAGATATGAGGTATATGTCAATGTTAGACATGTTAGAGACAACAACTCGGTGAAAAAAAACCCCAAAATACATACAAAATTCAAAATGATTTAGAGTATAATGTATTCTGGTAAATTTTATTTCAGGGAAAGCTGACAGCGAGAGAAAGAGTGAAGCTATTGATGGATGCAGGATCTTTCATTGAGTATGATATGTATTTAGAGCATGACTGTGCTGACTTTGGCATGCAGAAAGAAAAGGTCAGTTCTTTTAAATAAATTATTGTGTATTATTATAGAAAATATTGACAAGTTTGGACATTGCTAAATATTTAGTTTCTTTTCCTTTAATTACCATGAAATGGATTTAGCTTCTTTATTGCAATTTTTTGTAAATTGTCATTTTGAATTATGACATTGTTATATTTTTGACATGATGACATAACATTTCATCATTTTATGCATTGTATCAAAACAATTATTTTTTACAACTTAACAGAAACTTATCACACATCAATATGAAGTCATTAGGGCCCCACATTTTGGTCTCCCTATTGTGATCAATCTTTGGATTCATTTTTTCATGTGTCAGTCTATCATAGTATCATTCCATGCATCTCACAAATCTTGTCTGCAGCTCTTGAATAGTACCTGTACCGATGATTATAAGACAATACTCTGCATAATTAATCATCACCACTAGAAGAGTGCCAAAGATACTAAAGGGATATTCAAACTAAGAAGTCAAAACACAAACTGACAATACAATGGCAAAACTAAGAAGTCAAAACACAAACTGACAATACAATGGCAAAACTAAGAAGTCAAAACACAAACTGACAATACAATGGCAAAACTAAGAAGTCAAAACACAAACTGACAATACAATGGCAAAAACAAATAATGAGGGAAAGACATACAACAGTTCACAAAACTCAACATAGAAAACTAAAGACTGAGCAAAATGAACCCCACAGAAAACTGGGGGGTGCACTGAAAGGTACTGCATACAAAAATTAGGAAATTTCTTGCTTGAAGATTAAGGTTGCATACTTGTAGATACATTTATTTCTGTAGATTGAGGAAACAATGTTTTTTCATTGATATTTGATTTCATGGATTTGCCAAAGTCTGCACACAAGCCTTAAGAAAAAATGTACTCCATTGAACATTTAAGTTCACTGGTTCACCTTTACCAACGAAATCCACGAAAAATGTATACAACAAATAATATTGAATCAATGTTGTATGTTGTAGACCTAAAGGTTGTGTAACTGTTCACTGACACTTGGTGTGTTTGAATAAGACTGAAATTTATTTCTTTCACAAAGGCTATAGTCACAATCAGTAAAATGTTGCAAATCCAAGCTTCATGTTAAAGTACCATGTCATCTCTTTATCTTGAGTACGGCTGAAAGTTTAATGATTCTATGTTGTGCGATTTTTTTTTCACAATTAGAGGATGGGTCATAAAAAAGCTTTGAATATTTGGTCTGAGGGTCATGGTCACAAATCTTGTTTAATTTTGCAGTTAGGTTTACAAATAATTTCCAGTCTATATTTTGAAATATCTCAGAGTTTAATGATGATACTTTGTATCATTGTATGATTATTTATCCAGTCAGAAGTTTTAAAAAGTTTTTATATGAGTTATACAGTTATGCTATGATTACTTGGTGCAAACACTGCAACAAACTTATTTTTTTGACTTGGATAATTACCTGTAGTGAACATGTTTATTGTGATTTGTAAGTCTTATTGGTATTGAAGAATAAACTAAGGTTTCAACTCCCTCAGGCAAAGTTGACCTTAGATGGATTTTGCTATATTTTTTTCGGTCCTATTTGGTTATATAGCTCTTCAACTGTTTCAGTTCTTATACACATCCTTGGCTTCAAAATATTCAACTGTGAGCATTACTGATGAAGGTAAATCCATAATAGAGATTTGTACACATGAAATAAGTAACATGTTGTTTTCATTTGTTAAAATATCTCTTTTGATAACAGTACTGATGTAATTTTAAATTGATATATCTATTTATATAGTACCCTGGTGACAGCGTTGTAACAGGAAGAGGAACAATTAATGGAAGACCTTGTTTTGTATTTAGTCAGGTAAAAAATAAACAAAAAACATGACCAATTTGTAATATGACGGCAAATTTTCAGTTGGGGTATATATCAAAGTGACCCAGCAACCCAAAAACAAAATAAACCAAAAGATATCTATATCACGTACAATTATGACGATAGACAGGTGTCTATTCATCACCATGTTCAAGAGCCTATTCAATCCCCCCTGTCTGTTTAAATCATTGTCTTGCCCTTTATACTAATAAAAAAGATGGGGAAACAATTATGTTCATGCTTGAACAAAAACAAAATACTGTAGGTACAGCAATTCAGAAAGAGTTTCATCGTGTCTATCAATGTTTTATGAGGATTATGCATATAGAAGTTTTGAAAAGGACCAAAAAAAATCAATGAAGACTTAAAAGTCAGTAAATTATACCTCCTAATCAAACATCTTTTATCAAGGAAAGTTTCAAAACAATAGATATTTGGTAGATAGGTTTCAACTTCTATAATGTCCAATATTTTATGTATATTCTCTATAACATCGTAAATTCAACATTTGTCTTTGTATCTAAACAGGATTTTACAGTCTTTGGAGGAAGTTTGTCTGGAGCCCATGCCAAGAAGATTTGTAAAGTGAGTACAGTGATGTTCAGAATACATTAGAATAAAACAGGAAATTAGAATTTACGGAAACACTTCTTAAATAGATTAACAGGTTGTGAATATACATGCCAATGTTTAGAATTTAAAGATAAATATAAATGCATGTTTAACAGTACGTGACTAAATGAGCAGATTAACAGCACTGACACAGTGGTAATAATGCCGCCGCCGCTAGGTGAAGTGGGCACTAAGATTTACCTTTGTCCATCTGTATGTCACGAAATTGGTTTCCATTCTCTAACTTTTCTTTGCCTCAACCAAATCTTATGAAACTTATACACAATGCTTATTACCTCAAAAAAAACAGATAAATTTTGAATTTGGGGGGTATCAGTTTGACCATTCTCGAGTTATGTCCCTTTTTAAATGGAAAAATTGCTGAATTTTTTTCCTTTTTCACACTCAAACTTTACTTTGCCTGAACCACATGTTATGAAACTTATACACAATGCTTATTACAAAGGAACACGGATCAAGTTCGAATTTAGGTGGCCTCACTTTCACTGTTCTCGACTTATGTCTCTTTATAAATGAAAAAAAATGCTGATTTGCTGTTTCCACATTCCGCCTTTACTTTGCCCCAACAAAATGTTATGAATCTTATACACAATGTTTATCACCACCAAACACAAATCTATTCGAATTATGGTGGCATAAATATTCACTGTCTCAAGTTATGTCCCTTTATAAATGGAAAAATTGCTGAATTTGCCATTTCCCGATCTAATATGAAAATAAGAAGATATGGTATGACTGCCAATGAGACAACTCTCCATCAGAGACTAAATGATGTAGAAGTTAACAACTATAGGGATCCGTAGGGCCTTCAACAATGAGCAAAACCCATACCGAATAGTAAGCTATAAAAAGGCTGAAATGACAAATGTCATACAATTCAAATGAGAAAACTAACGACCTGATTTATGTATAAAACGATTAACAAAAAACAAATATGATATACTGCAACAAACAACAACCACTGAATTACAGACTCCTGACTTGACTTTGCCACAACTAAATATTCTGAAACTTATTCACAATGCTTATTACCATCAAAAACAGATGAAGTTAAAATTTGGGTGGCAACACTTTAACTGTTCTTGAAGCCCCTTTATAAATGGAAAATGACCAAATTTGCTGTTTTGCACAGTCAACATACAGAAACAAATGTCATTAAGTTTCAAAGAAAGAAAAAATATGTCAGTAGGTCTGAATCAGTACATTAACTCTTGCTTATTGACAAGTAGGGGCATCTATGTCCCATGGACACATTCTTCTTTTATTAAATAATGTACGACTGTCTGAGAAGAGTTTTCATTATTTTGATCTTTTATCAACAGATTATGGATCAAGCAATGCTAGTTGGTGCCCCTGTGATTGGTCTCAATGATTCTGGAGGAGCCAGAATTCAGGAGGGTGTAGAGTCTCTTGCTGGATATGCTGATATTTTCCAGGTAAAAGGTTTAAAGTGTATATTTGATTACATCAAATCACATTAACTATAAGCGATGATTGATTGATTGCTGCTTGCATAACATCCAGTGTCAAATGTTTCACACATATTCGGACAACAAAAATGATGAGAATAGTCCAAGACATGGTAAAGCTGATTAGATAAAACCAGTTTGAACAAGTTTTGTACCAAGGCATTACATTGAATACTTTTCAGTTATACTGAATACAAAACTAATACAAACATTATCTTCAGCTTGTTATGGCATTGGGTTTAGACAGGATTAACTATACTGCAGAAAAAAATTGGACACTTTACATCTAACATCTAGTTGTGCCTTTTATTACTTAGTACATGTACTGAAGAGCAAAGGGTAAGGTGTATAATATTATAATTTTAGTTTTTGTCTATTACAGAGAAATGTTAATGCATCAGGAGTAATACCACAGCTATCATTGATTATGGGTCCTTGTGCAGGTGAGATAGTAAAAAATGCAGTGTGAAAGATTTAAAGTACTGAAGATGAGTTCTTGGTCTCTTGTATTGTGCTTTCAAAGAATTTACCATCAGCATATTGTTTGATTAAGTTATGTTTTTCTAAATTCATATGAAACAAGTTCCTTGCAACTTTTATGTTATCGAAATTATTGAACAGATGCATGCATATAAACTAAAGTAAGTGTTGTATGCAAGTTTTTTATATTAATTATGAATCTATAACGTATTATCCACAAATAATATTTCATTCAATGATTGTTGATCGCAAGCTAATTAACTTGTGAGTTTGTTGCTGAGGTTTACTGGATCGTGACATCAATAAACAATCAACACAGAGCAAGTGCAGCATGTGACTAATAAGTGAATAGATAGAGCCATGATATTTTTTTTCCATTCCTTCCCATTTGTTAAACTTTTCCATAACAGTTGTTAAATGATTTTTTGTATTAAATTTGTTCTTTAAGAATCAGTTATTACTATTTATTTACCTTCTGTGCTGTGCAGTGACCAAAGTTCTAATGAGAGGTCTCATAGTTGAGGTCACTGCATATAGGAAAATATCGGCAAATTAGTGAACGGAAAGACAATAATTCAATAGCATTACATTTATGAAGATTTTGATAATATAAAGGATTTTCTTTTACAAGAAAGTTCACATACACTTGTTTTATAGAAAAACTTAACCATTCAAGTATACAAAACATATTCAACTTTTTTTTAAATTTGAAGTTTCAAATGACTTTAAATATGTAAAAAAAAAAGTAATTTCGTACATTATTTCCTGGCTTTGTGAGATTTTTGTCTCGTGTACTTTCATAGATAAAAATGAATAGAATCAGTTGAGATAGATAAATATGAAAAAGTGTATAACACCTTCATATTTAATGCAAATATGACGTGCAAAAATTTTGCAATGTTAGTACTGATATATATAAAGATGTACAAAACAATAAATGAAATACAAATATGATCGACAGCACCTAGATTAATTATATAAATGAATTAATTCCTAATCACTATCAGATTTATAGATATTCTCTTCCTCTTATTTCAGGAGGTGCCGTGTACTCTCCAGCTCTAACAGATTATGTATTTATGGTTAAGGTTAGCAGAATTTTAAATACTTCATGAAATATTATAAATATGATTGGAAATAAAGTGGTTCATTATTTAGTCATTTCCAAATTAGTCAAAACTCTTTTTGATTGGAGTTTTAACAAGACATACAATTATCTTACGTATATTTTACGGTACAATTGATGTCTGACAAATTATTACCTCTGTGACCAAGCAACATGTCAATCATGACTTAAAATGTTACCTCTGTTACCAAGCAACATGTCAACATGAATTAGAATATTACCTCTGTTACTAAGCAACATGTCTATCATGACTTCAGATATTACCTCTGTTACCAAGCAACATGTCTAGTATGACTTAAAATTTACCTTTTTACCTTTTTATATTTTTTTTTCTTGATTCAAAACCATGCATTACTAATATACATTGCAAATTCAATCAGCCATATGATGTTTATTTCAGGATACATCCTATTTATTTATAACAGGACCTGATGTTGTCAAGGTGAGTTATAATACTTTTCCTAAAATTAAATGTATCTATGAAATCAAGGTTTATGTCTACAAAACTGCATTGCAATTTTCTCTTCTATTAAAAATAATATATATACTGCTGAATGATACAAAATATTCTCTTTTCCTTCAACTCAAGTTTAAATTGAATGAACTGAGAATATGTGAAGTGTTGTTGATTACTTTGCTTCTTAAAATTACAGACTCAATATGAATTCTTTTCAACACTTTCAGTGCAAAGCAACAATGGACGTTTTTTTGTGCTTTGTGTATGCTTTTGAAGTAAGGTTTTAAGAAAGGTTTATTTTGTTTCTTACTTTATATATGTGTTGGAGTTCACAGAAACTCAATTTTACAGCTCATTCTAAAGTCTCGGTCTTTTACTAGGATAACAAGGAGGTGAATTTTATGCAGAACAGCCATAAATCCAATCTGGAAACAAAATATTGATAACCCAGTAGAATGAATATGTTTGCATTTGAATGTTTGAAGAAGGGATGTATGATTTGCAGATTTTTCTCCTGATTCAGATGCTTTGCAGCTTGTTTTAGTGTCAATTATTATGCTTTTTGGGATTATAACTCTTCAAATGTTGCAATGTTTCAATTTTCCACCATTGAAGAAAAATACATTTTTGAAATATGCATAAGGTGTATCAAATTGATTACTGTATTTTGTTGTTTGTGTATTCACTAGAATATTGAACAAGTAGTTTTATATTTTTCATTGAATTCATAAATGTTTATTGATACCAGTTTCCTAAATATGGAGCTTTTAAAAAATAAAAAAACCAGGACAATATTTAATAAATTTTTCATAATTTTCAAAATATCAAGAGTTATCTCCCATAGACTGAAAATTCAAAACTTGTCAACTATGAAAAATATTACAAAAAAATTATAAATGATTTCCATGTATTCTCAAGCTTTCAGCTTCAAATTTAGAAATTCATAAGACAATAGGCCTAATTGAACCAAACAATTCAGGTAATGTGTCTGCTGAATTTACAGTTTCATCTGGATGATTCAGCATTGTTGTATCTAACAAATTGATGGTTGCAAAATTACAAGTTAGCAACAGATCCTGTTAACTTGGTATGCATTATTAATCTATTTTACTTAACAAATACAAAGCATTAATGGAAATTTAATTATGGCACTCATTCTTTTCATACACTTTTATTTAATAGATACTTTTACATTGTCAATTGTTAGTTTGTAAATTGTATACCGGTAGTTGTACAACAGTAAAACTTTGTTGGGATTCCTGCCAGCAAAGTTGACCTTAGGCAGTTTATAGTGTAATGTTTTGGTTTATTTTTGGTTTTGATGTTCACCACAAAGGTTTTAAGTCTATGGTTTCAAAAGATTTGACCTTTAAAGTGATGAAAGTTATTCCAAAAATAGATATCATTTGACTGAAATCTGTGTTTTGTGGAGTCAGTAAAAAGTTTCCCAATGCTCTATTTTTGTCTCACAGTTATGGCTTATTTATTCTTGGGATAATTTCTGCTGTGTGCTTCTTCATGTGCAGTCCAGACTAATTATAGGTCAACTTTATGCATTATTTCCTGCCAAGTTATCTAATCTTACATTAATTTCAATGTGGTTGATTATTGGTAAATGTATTGTTTCTGTATTTAACAGTAAGATTGTCAGGCAATTTATGACAGAATTTGTTAGATTTCTTTGCCAGATGTAATGTATTATTTGTTGACATTATCCAGTATCTGTGTTCTAAAATGCCCAGTTGTAGTTTGATAAACATCTAATAAAGAGCTCCACTCACACCAATGCTTAGTCCCATATTGAAATAGTGTGAGATGAGAGTATTTGCTTGATGTGGAATGACTCTCCTTAACTTTGAGATGAAGATCAGTAATAAAAGTGCTGTTTGTATGTGTTTAGATTTTATGTGATGAATTGATACACCATATGACCCTTTCTTTTCCATTTAGTTATAAATAAAAAAGTGAATGTCTCAATTTTTTTTCAAAGAAGACACATCATTTGTGTAATTCAGTTGTTATTTGCAATAAATTTAATGTTTATATGGCCATGGTCCTTATGGGTATGTAGGTTTTATAGCTATTGTCAGCCATACAAGACAAAAAATCAAAAGATATTTCAGTCTGATCTTAAAGTCAAACAAGGATTTGTGCAGAAAATTTAAAGAATAGAAAAATATTTAACAATTTATTTTGCAGAAAATTTATGAAGTTCTTTTTCAGGAGCAAATAAATGCATGGTATTTTTAACTGCATCCTTATAATTCTGTATCAGTTCATCAGAGTACTTTAGAATTGTATCATCTCTCATGTCTTTAAAACACGTCATATCTGGTTCAAAGTTTATAATACATGCTCGGTAATGATGAATTTTAGCTACATCTGGATCAACATATAGCACTTGTTTAGATTCATCAATAGGTTTGCTTACATGATGGATTCCTAATTCAAACACATTTTGAGGAACTGTTAACAATTTGGTTCTGACTTTGCTAAGTTTACTGTTGCGCCTCTGAAGCTGAAGGACCTTCAGTTGCTGTGATGGATCGGGAAGTTGTTTGGGATCAAAGAAGGCACTTTGGAATGAAAATCCTGATATGTTTGAAATGGTTGGAAGTTTCTTTGCATAGCTGTCAAGAAGCTCTGTCAGTTTGAAATATTCTAATGGAATGATAAATTCATCTAAATCTAAGAATCCTAGATATTTAATTCTTGCCATGTTACGATAAAGACAGTCTTGTATGGTCAACATTTGTCCATGGTACCATATCTCTCTTGATGAAATAACTGAAGGTAGAATCCACTCAACAAGTGTAATATCCCCTTTCTCCTGATAATGATCTAGAATTTTTCTAATGGAATCAGCAATTTTATGTAAATAAAAAGTAAAATGAGTGATCCCTTGTATTTTGCCTAATTCTATAAACTGTAAAAGCATCGGTAAATTTATTTCCCCAAATAAAGGAGGAATACACACTCCAATTGTGTCAGTAAATTGACCTAATAATTTGAACTTTGAACTGTCCTGGTAAGTATGTGATGTGATGTTGATTGGAACTAACGTTTCCAAATTATTGCTTTCAAATAAACGTATATCTGATGTGGAAAGAGCATTGGAATTTATATCTATAAATTGTTCAGGAACATCACAGAAATACATCCAGCCTCCATAAAATCTCCCATGATTCTCACACATTTCATGTCTTTCTGCATAAACACGTATCCAATGATTTTGAAATTTAAATGCACAACCAATATTTTGTGAAGAATTGGATTGTTTTATTGTCATTATTCTGATTTTTGGCCTAATATTCGGTCTGTTGTCAAAATATGCAGAAAAGATGAATAAATTTCCTAATTTGATGAATGTTGTATCTCGCTGTTCAGCGTCACTTTCAATGGTGGGATTTTCCTCTTTATTTACGTATTCATACATTTCCTCTTCGTCATCATCGACTAAAACTTGAATTTCACTAAGATGTGATTTCCTGAATCTCTTTGGAAACCATGATGATTTGTCCTGAAATCCCCAGAATATGATGGCGATAGTTAAAGTGTACAAGGAGAGGGCAACTACTATTACAAGTCTAAAATTAGATATTGATATTCTCATTGTATTGTCATCCTTAATGTGCTCAGTTTCGTTGATGTAGGTAAGCATCAACGTTTTAATTATTTTCCATTAGCTAAAGCACCATATTTAAGCTGCTTTCTACCTAGAAAAAAAATAAACAAAAATGTAATTTTTTTCATATGCGTATTTATATGTACAGTTCGAGGTGATATTCATCACTTGGGATTTTTCAATTTATATTTCAAAAAATTATTGTGTGGTTTCTGGTAAGATTTTAATGAACTTGGTACCAATAGAAGCAAAATTGTCACAGGTTTATTTGGTTTATTTTTTTTTATTAAATGTTTCAATTATTTGATGAAATAAACAAAAGTATTATTTTTTGCCTGGAAATTTTCCATACATTTTAACAAAAAATTTTTTAATCAAAAATATGTGTGTTCACATCATGGAAAATTGAAACCAATGGCAGATAAAATTATGACCAAATAAACAAACTCCAGACAATTCTGCATATTTCAACATCTGAAATGTTAAAACCCAACTATAATTGTGTTAAAATGTTTAAGCAAAAAGATAAATTCCTCCATAGAATCAAATTTTCAATTTTCATTAAAATTATAGGTATTTTTATGATTTTTTTTTTTTTAAATTTTTTTGGGGGGGGGGGGGGGGGGGGGGGGTAATATTTTTTGATCTACCAAATGTTTTGTGTATGTAGGTTCATATAAATAAATGTTGTTTATATTATTTCTTTATTAGTACCATATACATAATATAGCTGATATATTGATAATGAGAACTTTATTAATAATAATAATAAAAATTTAAAAAAAGTTTTAGATACTTAATATAATTATAGCCTGATTAGTAAGTTTTGATAATGTGTTCAGTTAATAGTTCTAGATACTACAATATGTAAACATAAAATTAAGGCTTATGTTGTAAATCTTTTGCCTTCAAATGAATATTTATTTTTATAGAATTATTTATCAACTTCATTACATCCTTCTTGCTGTCATATAAGTTTAATTATTTTGACGATATGACAACATTATAGTTTTGGTTGGGTACACTTTTTGTTTTAAGTTTCTTGAATAAATAATCAGAATAATTCTCATTTAAAAAGTTGTTTATGTTTATTTTAAAAACTATGTAGCCAAATATTCATGTATTAACTTTTCTTTAAAGATTCAGTTCTTCCGAGTTACACTTGAGTACTTGTGTACATGTACTAGTTGTCATCCCTTTTAAATAATATCATTAAAGAAAACATGAAAGAAATAAGAAAAGTGTTTTAAAAATTATTACAAATATGTAAATATTAAAAAGGAAAAATTCTGGAGAATTGCACTAAAGACAATACATCATACAGTAAAAGGTACATTAGAAAGTCACCTATTAAGCCTTTTTTGTTTAATTTACACTACAAATGAAAAAGTGTTTTGTACTATCCCTAAAATATGATGAGTGTTTGGTTACCTGTAGTATTTTTTTGTCTGGTGGACAGTTGTCTCATTGGCATCTCATTTTTATTTAGAGTAAATATTCGAAGACAAATTACACACTAAGAAAGTGACAAAAGTAAAAAAACTAGCAAAAAAAGTTGATGGAAACTGAAAGTAAAAGCACTTTAGTAGAAGGCTTATAGGTGTGCAAGAAGGGAGTACATTTTTATTTTGGTTAATAGATATATATATATATATATATGTATATGAATTTGTAATTGCAGTCATTGCATTTATAAATATCAATTTGAAGGCAGCTAAGGAAAAATATATAACATTGAAAGAGTTTACTTCTAAATTTTTATGTTTTTTCAAATATTAATGGTCTATTTTGATTTTACAAATAAGAAGGTAAATGGAAAAATTTTAAATGTTGTAATGAATTCAAAACTTAATCTTAAAAATAAAACTACAGATATTGCAAATATATTTCAAAGTCTAAAATAGTATAGTTTCAATTTAAAGGGGTATTAGCTACGAATAAGACAAAAAATAAAAATAATTATGTTGTTATTTTTTTGCTTTCGAACATTATAAAAGCTTAATATAGAAATAATTTTTTGATATTTGCAATCAATTGGGTTTAATTTTGTCAAAATCAGCAAGAAAAACATCGCCAATGTATTATTGACTTGCATGTCAATAATTCAAATTCATTTGAATCTGTATTCATGAAACCTTTAATTTTGACCTTTATTGGAGATGAGTTACACATGTGTTCAGCATGTGGTTCATTCCTTAAAAAGAAAAGAATATCATGAAATTGAACAGATCTTAAATAGAATGTCTTTATACAATTGCACATGCTTGATTATTAGTTTATATTTTTATTTATGTAAATATTGACTGTAGGCAGTCTTTGGAGGTCATCTAGATGGATGCATGAAATACTGATACTTTATAATGAGCTCATGTAATGTTAATTGTTTCTTTTTGAACTTTTTGGAATTTGAATTGGAATGTTTTAGTATGTTATAAGTCAAATGTGAGAATGTGGGTCAAATCGATGAAAATGAATTTGAAAAAAAAATAATGGTAACCTATACCAAAATATATTTATAAAGGGTAACAACTTTTGTAAATTGTGTTCCCTGACAGCATCTAGTTGGGGCAACACAAAGGGATCACTTCTGTTGTCTTGGGTCAACTTTGTCCTTGTTGTCAGCATTTACTTAAACGGGCTGAACAGAATTTAACAAATCTTGCACAGATTCTTCTAAGAGACATTAACACCTGATATTTTAATTTTTGATCAGATTGATAATGCCAAAACATGGACTAAGTTGTTAATCTGCAACTCCTTGAAAACAGCTTACCCCACCCAGTATTAGAATTCCACCAAACTTCTTCTACAGGAGATGAAAGTTGAGCACCTGCTATTTTAAATTTTTTATTTGAATAATTTTTGGGGTTTCTCCTACAAAAAAGTCATCCTCACCCTCTTATATAACAGTGGTCAGGGCTAGTAACATCCCAAGATTAGGTCAACTTATTATTTCAGAAAATTCAATGAATAAACATTTATCGTCAAATTGAATATATCGGATTAAAGGATATTTTTTGCTGACACTTTGAGTATCCAATTTGCTGTGGTCTACTGTATCAAAACATGCCAGGAATATCAACATTTGTACTTATATTATATGTAGGTGCCAGATGACACATATGCCTTCCTTGGAAGACTGTCACATTTGTAAATGTTAGGAGGATAAATGACACAAGGGATGAGAAATAAAAGAGGGAAAATAAAAGAAATATATAATACATGTATTTACTTCGAAATTTAGTGTGAGTTAAGTGTTGTTGTAAGGTTCCAGAATGTTTGGTTGGATTTTATTCAGTCAAATTCCTACTTCGACAAAAGTGTCTTATACTTATAAATTTTTTCAAGCAAGAATATGGTAGCCATTGTAGAGATGACACACTGTCGTGATAATTCTTGAATACCTTTAGTTTTATTCATATCCTTACTTGAAAGGTTTTTTTTTTTTAAAGCAAATGCTTCTTACTAATTTGCACCATTTAATATATTTTTAAGTCTTTATTCTACCTAAAATTATTGAGTGATTGGTAGTCAGGGTAAATTTTTGAAAGTTCAATTAAACACTAAAATATATTTTATGAAAATATTTTATGAATGGGCAGACTAGAAATTTTCAGAAGTTGAAGAATTACAACCACGGGTAACATACCAAAAAAATGAAATTAAATGCATTTTCAAAATGCAAAAGTCTTAAAGGAGACCTGACATGATATCGGGTTTTGCTTTATTTTCTATAATTTGGCTTGAAAGAGGTTTATATTAAGTTTTTTTCATCTACATGTAACCAGTTTCGTATATATAGGTCAATTTGATTGACATTTCATTGACCTGTGAAATATGCAAAGCTAATTTTTGGCAGAAGTTTAAGGAGGTGTCAGTGAAAAGCTTGTGTGACTTCTCTTTTTAGAGCACATTTTCTTGAAAAAGATAATTAAAAATCCTCAATTTTACTTTAATACTGTGTCAAAGACAATAAATTTACAATTGACATCATGATCATCACTAAAGTTATCCACTGGTCCCATATATTTGTTTTTGAAGTAGCAAGAATTTTGAACTTGTTATATATCAAGATTAGGCTTAACATTTTAAAATATTGTAATCTAAAGATAGACATGTATCTTTTGATTTTGCTTTACACATTGTTTTTTTTATCAGATCAATATTCGGGTCTCTAATATGTATAGCCTTAAAAGGACTTTTACATTTTTAATATATTTCCAGAACTTAAAAACTACAATATAACCTAATTGGAATGAAATTTGATAGAATTTAAAACTGCAACAATTTACATTGGATAATTAAATTTCTTGATAGGATATGCAATTTGTTACTTGTAATTTGGCTGGGACTATTATACTAATAGTTAGTATAATAGTCCCAGTAATTTGGATAAAGAGAAGACTTTTAGCAAATTTTCTTCCTAATTTCTTGAGCATTGTTTGCTGTCTGTCTGAAAGGACTGGATTGGCAGTTAGTGTATAGTAATTTTATCATTAATTTTATACCAATTGAAAATTTAAATTACTGGCCTTCAAAATAAAATTAATAGACCTTACTTTAGAGAATTTAATTTTATTGTCCTTTATAATAAGTTTCAATAACGTATGTTCACATATAATTTTATATCAATTCATACTGTGTCATGATTGACTTAAATTGATAAAAAGCTTTTAAAAACTGACAAATGCTGTAATACACATATTTTTTAATTGACTGGAGATGGAGAAAACTTAAAATGCTAACTATTTAAGTAAATACCACCTTTAGTCAAGGATTTGTGTAGTGAGACTCACTATACAAATCCTTGCTTTAGTTTATTAAATTTGAAGTTATTTCTGTTGGGAAAATGGAATTAAAAGAAATACAATTTTATTTCATCTTATTTCTTTTTTGGCACAATGCCTTTGTTGGTCCAGCTTCTATTTGATAATTCCAAAAGTTATCACGATTTTTTTCTTATTACACCAGTGGTTCATATTTTAGGGAAGTTATATATGTTTATATTTATATTTTAAAATTTGTAAGTATTTATAATTTTTCTCTCCAGAACAAATTATCCATTTACAGTTTTGGAATAAGTCAATATCAACTTTAAAAACAACTTTTATAATAAGTACAGCATTTGATGGGAATTTCGAATTCATCTACCACAAAAATTCTCAATTTTTTAGCCAATTTTTCATACTCCCAGTGTTTAAGAACACTTTTGGCCTTCAGAATACCTGAAGAAGTCCAATATAAAAAAATCCCCAGAAGGAAATATAATCCCCGTAACTTTTTCTACAAAGCTTAAAATGTTATGAGCTTATAATATAAATAGTAAGGAGTTTATAACTTACTATTTGCATAAAAACAGTTATAAAATTTCAGGTTAAAAATTGACACTGTTAGAACTGGTTTTATCTTTATAATCTTAATTGCCTTGTTGAAAGCTTGGCAGATGTTAAACAAATTCTTATTTGAAAATACTTGGGTGGACAGCCAAATGAGAACACCAAGAACATCTATTTTCAGTTTTGTAGGTTTTTTATATTAACTAACCAAAGATCATTTGTAATTTTAATAAAAATTGATGCTCCAAGTATAAATATACTCTCATCAAAATGATTCCACTTGTGAATCAGCCCTATTCCTCTATTTTTAACACACAACTAAAGCATGAAAGTATTTGAAACTTTTGATTATAATCATAGTTAATTATTTGATTTGTTTTTTGAATTGATATTAAAAAGTGGTCATTAATTGTATAACAATTAGCCAGTCTCTTACCTGAATTCAGCAGCTGTAGCTCTGTTTAGATCTTACACTCCAGTGACCCACTGATAAAATACACATTGTGGAGGGTATTAAATTTTCTACACACTCAAATGTTGATTGGTTAATCATCTCCAGAGGATCATTTCAGGGAATTTTAAAAAGTGATGGCAACAGAAAATTTTTGAAATTGGATATGATTATTAAATTACATTTTATCCTTAATTACTGGTAATTAAACTAAATACTTTCACATACACAACATTGAAAGGGGAAAGTGAAACACTGAGTTTAGTCAATGATTACTTATCAGTTAATCTTCATAGATCCAGTCATGATTGTTTTCAAAGATTTCTCTGAATGATTCCAGTACATATGAACATCGATTGATTAATAGACCCTGGAGTTTAGTACATTTTTTATTCTCTTTTCTGTCCATCAAATCATCAATTAGAATAAGACCATGTTTAAATATTTTGGGTTATTTTCTTGTTGTAAAATCATATATTTTGAATCAGGAACTTTGTACTGAATAATCAATGAATATATCCATGTTAAGTTTATCTATCTGTATACCAGTATGTAATTACTTACTGTCTTATCTATTATCTTCCTGGTAGAAAAGCATGGTTCATTTAATGTAAAGTAAACACATTCGTTTGGCATGTTTCCTTAAAAATAATGTAAAATAACTAATTAATTAATTAATATAATTCAGTATGAGATTCTAAAATTCAACTTATTCCTTTCCCATTTGCATGAACATGATAGTATCATGAAACTATGTTTATATTTAATTTGAATTTTTAAAAGTGTTCTTTTAGTATGTAATGAATATATAAACAATTGATGAAAAATCTTTGACCTGTAAGCATATTAATGTAGAGTCTTATAAATATCTAAAATTCAACTACTTAAGTTTCCAGTTTTGACCCTCTGATTGTAACAAATACTGGGGAAATTTGCTATGCTTCTTTTTGAAAAAAATACTGTGTTCAAAGAGGTAGGGCCAATTTTCCTTGAATTATTATCCTCATAGGATCAAAAAAGAGGTTAAAACCTACTGGAATTCAGTATTAATCAGTAGAAATAATACAAATTAAAGATTTTGTAACAATTTTACACTTATCAATAAAGTCAAAAGTTGCTCAGTGCTATAATAGAAAAACAAGGATGAGGGGTAATCATCCATGACACAAAATCAGTACATGCACAGCAAAACACACTGACAGCAAAAGAACAGTGCTTTTATTGCTGTTCTTCATCTCTAAGTCACACTGAGGCCTTCGCATATTTGGTGATACAATTGAATATACATATAGAATTTTATGACAATATTAGTAAAATAAAATGTTGCCTTCACTCACATAAGGGAGCACCAAAAGAAAGAGGAAATAAAAGAAAAGGGGAAAAAACAAGCAGATTTAAATTCAGGACCACCAGAGCAATATATTTATAAGCTGAAATGATTCCATTCAAACATGTTCAACAAAAATCCCCAACATTATTATTTCACAATCTGTTGCACATGTATCCAGCACAGTAATTAAATAGATTCTTACTAATTAAATTTTGTAAGGATCCAATTTATTTGTTCAGTCAACTGGAAACTTTGAGTGCATTTTATATTTTGAGCTGAAAAACAGATATTATATCATTTTTTCATGCCTTGTTGATCTGATGAATGTGATTAATTTCAGCTGCATATATTGAAAATGATCATAGAAGTCCTGATCCTTCTTTGCCCCTCAACCTTTTTGTCCTGGTTACACTTTTGAATCCAAGGACTTACATTTAGATTATTGAAATGAAAAAAATCTCTTCCATGACTTAAGCAGTGTTTATTTAGTATGATTCATTGAGTATTGAAAGATTGCAAAATATTTATAAGTTTAAGATATGGTAGTGTGGCTCTAATATATCATTATTTTCAATTTTAATTGACAAAAAGTATATAACAGTTTATCATGAAATGCCTCTTTCTTCAAACCCTGAACCCCCCTTGATATACTTTTTTAGGCTCCTGCTGGCTTTTATTTGGTGTCATATGAATAATGTCTGAATTCTTATCCCCTGTCTACCCATTTTTTCCAGCTTATTTTTAATATTTCATTATTATATCTTTGGATGAAAAGAAAACAGCTGTTTACTATGATTTACTTTGATACTTCAAAATTTAATTGATTTGAATTTTATTTTGTTTTCCCAGGTTTTCATTTGTAATAATTCTATTAAAATATTAACCATCAATTGCCTTCAGACAACAATGTTGGGATTTTTTACAGAATTTTCGTTTTGATGTCTAAAAGTGTCAGAAAGCTTTGGTGGTATCTCAGATTTCATGGGTGGGCTGAGAATTTCAAAGGATTATTTTCTGTCTAACTGAGTTCTGCTTCAAGAACATTTACGTTTTGAACATTTTTTTTGTGCAGAAAGGAAAAGAAAATCTTGGGTACTTAATAAAGCAAATTTTATAGCATGATAAAAATTTCTTACTTTTGCCTTAGAAAGCTTGTTTTAAGTGCCAGCAATAAATCTACATCAACAACTGTTCTTTGCATAATTCAGTCATAAAATAATTTTATGTATAGAAATTCTTGTTAAACACGACTTCCCCTTGCATGCTTGAGTTGAAAGAAATTAATTAGCAAGAAATGTTATATTTATGGGTTTTTTTTTTATATTTTTGTGTGTAATGAGTCTTTTGATTGCCAACAGATAAATATTTGTTATATCATCCATATCCGCAAGTTTCATGCATTTTTGGTGCATATTGTTGCATTAAACACTGTATGACATGTGAAGTTATGTAACTTTCCTGTAATCTTTGAGTACCCATCACTGTGTTTATAGTATGACAAAGGATTAAAACAACCTTTGTTCATTTGGAAGATTTATAAATTACCTTTTGCAGCTGCTTTTGTTTTTTAATACTTGACAGTCTTTAACCAGTATAGTTATAGTTAAGTGAGTTCATTCTTTAACCAGTATAGTTATAGTTAAGTGAGTTCATTCTTTAACCAGTATAGTTATAGTTAAGTGAGTTCATTCTTTAACCAGTATAGTTATAGTTAAGTGAGTTCATTCTTTAACCAGTATAGTTATAGTTAAGTGAGTTCATTCTTTATCAATTTTTTTCTGTTAATATTATTAAGTACATAATAAATAAGCTAGATTCAATAAGTGTGTCTGCCGTGAGCATACAAAACCATAATATTTTAAGCCAGCTCTCTAAATTTACCATCCTCAGTCGATAGTTGCCACTTCATTACTTTTGTTTTGCTTTACACAAAATAACATAGGTTCAATATACTTACTGCTATCACCTACACTTCTAATCATTTTTTTCTTACAGTTATTTAGACTCTATCAAGATTGTAAGGTGTTGAAATCAATATTGTTCAGATAAAAAGTTAGATTCAGGCTTCTTGCAAGCAATTTTTTTTTTATTTAAACACTTGGAACTTTTGTAAGTGAAGTCAAAATAAAATTGATAACTAATACTTGAAAGAAAATTGCTGAATACTTGAATTTTTTTATGATTAGATAGTGTGTGGTCCTAAATTTGGTGATGTAATGGTGACATATGAAGATAAATTCAGCCTATGGTTTACATGTTATGTCTACAACTTTGTCATTTTTCGGCCTACAGATACTTTCTTGACATTTGTATTTATCAAACTTGGTCAAATGTATCCTATTAGGAAAATGATTTTTTTTATCAATATTCTTATGGATGAAATTGGTTATCAAAGAAAACTGTATTTAGTACATGATTATCTTCTTCAGTCTTCTTTGATGCTTAAAAACTCTGTTGATTTTATAAACAGGCCATTTTTATCCATTTTACCAAAGGTCCAATAAAACTTGATTTCCTTTCATAATCCTCTTTAAAGTGTCTTAGCTCAAACCATTCAGTTCTATATCCTCCTTTGTTAACTCTATGCTATCATTTCATTTTGTCATTAATAAAAAAATCAGACACATTTGCTTCAATGATTTATCTTTATAATAAAACAGTTCAGAATCATTAAAGGGAGAAAACTCTTGTGATGAAACAGACAAATCTAAAGTTAAGCATAATTATATGTACAAACAGTATTTATTGGAGCATGGGCTCATATTGCAACAAATGCTGTAATAATGTTTTTTCTGATTGCTATCAAGATACATAAAAAAATTCCAATTAATCAGTGCAATTACTGTCAAGTGCACTTATTAAATGCCCATAACATTAGTTGTATCAGTGCAAAATGATGTTAATTTGTATAAAATTGAAGTAAAAAATTGTGGTAGACAGATAGCATATGTTGATTAACTCAAATCAGCAGGAATGTGTGAAAATATGCTGAGGCTTTGATCCATGTAACAGGCAGATATTTTTATTTCAAAAAAACATTTTTTTTAAATCCTATTGAAATATTTATTCAGTACTTATCTGGTACTAGTTACCGGTACTAGTTATCGTTAGAAATTGGTAGTTTTTCTCAAATATATTTTTACAGGAACTCCTGTTGAAAATAGTCTTTCAATTGATTTTTGTCTCGCTTGACGGAGTCAAAAAGCGAGACATAGGTATGCTGTTTCCAGCGGGGGCGTCAACAATATATAGTTTGTGATTAGGTCTAGTTTGTGGTGAACCACAAGTTGTAGGTCAATCATATTTGGTATACAGTTCCTGAGTTGTATTAGCATTGGCACATCTCATTTCCATGGAGATTATTTGGCCCTGCCCCCTCAGTCATGGTCTATTGACTTTGAAATTTTTGCTTATTTTACATGTATTAGTTTGTGATTATTTCAGTTTATGGGGAACCATTAGTGGTAGGTCAATGATATTTGGTATACAGTTGTATTAGCATTGGCACATCTCATTTCCATGGAGATTTTTTGGCCCTGCCACCTCAGTCATGGAATATTGACTTTGAAATTTTTGCTTATTTTACATGTATTAGTTTGTGATTAGGTCAGTTTATGGGGAACCATTAGTGGTAGGTCAATGATATTTGGTATGCAGTTCCTGAGTTGTATTAGCATTGGCACATCTCATTTCCATGGAGATTATTTGGCCCTGCCCCCTCAGTCATGGTCTATTGACTTTGAAATTTTTGCTTATTTTACATGTATTAGTTTGTGATTAGGTCAGTTTATGGGGAACCATTAGTGGTAGGTCAATGATATTTGGTATGCAGTTGTATAAGCATTCAATGGCATATCTCATTTCCATGGAGATTATTTGGATCAGCCCCCTTAGTCATGGTCTATTGACTTTGAAAATTTTGCTTAGTTAACATGTATTAGTTTGTAATTAGGTCAGTTCAAGGGGAACCATTAGTGGTAGGCCAATGTTAATTGGTATTCAGTTGTATAAGCATTAGCACATCTCATTTCAATGGAGAATATTAAGCCCCACCCCCTCAGTCATGGCCTATTGACTTTGAAACTTTTGCTTAGTTTACATGTATTAGTTTGTGATAAGATCAGTTTAAGATGAACTGCTAATGTTAAGTCAATGATATTTGGTATGCAAATTTATTGGCATTTGTAGGTATTGTTTCCATGGAGATTATATAGCTCCACCCCATTTACATGGTTCATTGACTTTGAAACTTTTACATAGTTAACAAGTTAATGTTTGTGTTTAGGTTTGTTTAAAAGGAACAACTTATAATAAGTCAATGATATTTGGTATGCAGTTGTATCAGCATTGTCGCATCTCATTTACATGGAGATGGTTTAGCCATGTACCTCAGTCATGGTTCATTGACTTTGAATATTAGCCTAACTAAGTATTGCCATTTTAATTTCAACATTTGCATAATCAAAATTACAAAAAAGCAAGACATATCTCTGTGGTAACAGTTTATTTATAGTTTGTTCTTATGTTGTACTGTTACACCACTGTCCAAGGTAAGGGGGAGGGTTGGTGCCTTCAAACTAGTTTAACCCCGCCACATTCTGTATGTGCCTGTCCCCAAGTCAGGAGCCTGTAATTCAGTGGTTGTCAATTGTTGCTGTGTAACATATTTGTTTTTCGTTCATTATTTTGTACATAAATTAGGCTGTTAGTTTTCTCGTCTGAATTGTTTTACATTTGTTATTTCGGGGCCTTTTATAGTTGACTATGCGGTATGGGCTTTGCTCATTGTTGAAGGCCATATGGTGACCTTTTGTTGTTTATTTCTGTGTCATTTGGTCTCTTGTGGAGAGTTGTTTCATTGGCAATCATACCACATCTGTTTATTTTTATTTTTGTACAAAGGGTTACCAAAAGTGAGGTTAAACAACACACACTCAATTTTTAAATCATCTCATAACTGACAAAAATAGATGTACTAGAGATAGTAAGTTTTCTAAAATCAAGGACCCATTAAGTATTGAATTCATGTCCCTGCATCTTCAAACTATTATTACAAAAAATGCCTAGTGACAGTGACTGGTCCTTGACCAGTAGTTAATTTTTGTCAATTTTGAAATTTTTGATTGAAAAAGTTTTAAGTTGAACATGCCTGCTACAATTTTTTTTCTCAGTTAGAACATTTGAAGAAACTTTAATTTATAGTTTTTACCATAAATCAAAAGAAATTTAAGATGGAAACAGATTGAACTTAGTACAGATATCTGTAAATTAACTTTTTATACCTATGCAGATGTTGGCTGCATTTGAATTATGGTAAACATCCTTTTGATGATTATTTAACCAATGAATGTTAATTCCACAAACATCGTTTGCATTTTAGAAGCTTTCTCTCCTATGCTGATTTATTTCTTTATCAAGTTTTTTTTCCTATTTATTATTTTGTCCTTGATTTTATATGTACAGCACATGCATTTTATGTGTTATTATTGACTCTTTCTTGGTTGAAATTTAAAATTGACATCAGAACTTTGCAGACCTCTGATGTTCCCTTAAGGTGGCTACAAAAATGGTGATATGAGAAAAAAAAAGATTGATTTTATAGGTCCCTTAAGTGTTACTTAAGATGTCTGTATTTATCTAAAAATAGACACAAAGCAGATGATCCCAGATTGTGCTACTGTTTCTTTACTGTTTTTATCCCAACTGTAATAGAATCTAGAGTTGCTGCTGACATTATTTATTACTTGGGGCTATTTGTAAATCTGTGAGCTTGCAATATATTTCAATTTTTTTTCTTTCTTTTTGGCCCTTTGAAAGACAAATTCATATAAGTGGAATGTTCAATGTATGACTCTCCTTGTGTTCAATTTCCATAAAGCTGTAAGTGCGTTTAATTGACAGTTGTGTGGACACAGTCATAATTTAAAACTTTCTGAATCAGAGTCACAATGACTAACATAATTTGACATCTCTAAGTAACAACCAATTTGTTGAAATTGATCATTGAGCATTTTTATGATTTTACCTCATCTGAGGCTTATCCTACTGAATGTAAGGTAGCTAGAGATGTCATTTAAGAGATTTGGTGACATGGTTCACTGACTTTACAAAATTTAAATTGAAATTTATATTCTTGTTTCAAAATTCGCCCGAAACGTCGTAAAAATGGTCTAAAAACTACAATATTGAATCTTATTGTTTTGTCAGTAACTAAAAAAATGGGTCAATAATATTTGGTTACAATTTTGTTGGAAGATGTTCATTCTTGTCTGGTAGGGGTCACTTGACCTATGTTTTCATTTTCATGGTTCAATGTTTCATGATTGTTCTTATATGATTGATCATTTTCTCAGTTATTATAAGTTATAGGTCAACTGTGTTTAGTCTTAAAATTCTTTTTTATAAATTTTCATGTCGGTTTGATAAGGATTACTGCATATCAGTCGATCTTTTCTGTATCATCAGCCTTCTTTTGTTATAGGCAGTTTTATTTAAAATGTATAAGTGCAGAAATTTGACTAAAGTTTCTTTATGAATATTTTATATAATTGACTTTTATTTCAGTCTGTTACTGGTGAAGATGTAACTCAAGAAGAACTAGGAGGGGCAAAAACCCATACAGCTACATCAGGTACGGAGGATGATTAGGCTAAAAATAAATTTGTAATTGTTTTATGATGCCTACATACCCACCTAAAAAGCAGCCTACCCAAAATAAATTTATGAGACAAATCTTTTCAAATTTTTTTTTAAAGATTGTTTCCTGCTCTAACATAGTTTTTGTCTAAATCATGTAACTTATGTTGTTGGCCAAAAGAAAATAAAATCCCTACTTACCTACCCAACCATATAGTGCATGGGTAGGCTACATCAAACAAAGAATTTCTTAAGGGTAGCCTTAACATAGATTTTTTTTTAGCTAAGGACAAAACAGAATACAGAAAGGAATGATAAAAAATTAGATATACTTTAAATTTTTAAATTGATTTATGCATTAATTATTGCTAATCACTATTTACTGGTAAAATTGTGAGGTAAATTTAATTCCTGTGCAAAAAATTGGTGAAGGAGAGTTCTAATATTGGGAACCTGATACTGTCACATTTTTCACATGAACAAAAACAATTCACAACATGTTGGACATGAAGTAATTATGAGTATAAAAACACAAAATTTAAGACATTCAGATGTGGGGTTTAGTTATATATAGCAATTAACCAAAGAAATCGAAAGTTCATTGTTTTAATACTTCACAAAAAAAAAAAGAATTATAAATAAAATTGTATCTTTGATAAAATTTTCCTCAAAGAATTTTGTATGATGTGCAGACTGTATGTATCCTGTAACATTGGAAAATAAGAACTATTTTTTCCCAGGTGTTGCACATAAAGCATTTGATAATGATGTTGATGCCATACTTCAAGTCAGAGAATTCTTTAACTTTCTACCTTTGAGTAATAAGGATCCAGCACCTCACAGAGTATGTCATGATCCGCCGTAAGTACGTTTTAAGACCACACCTTTTTACTATAGTAACTTAATCAGCTGACTTTAAAGTATTCAGTGTCATAATCTGATTATAATTCAATTCCTATATTTAATGACTAACAAATCAGCAGTATTCTGACTTTCTCCCAAATAAAAACTGGCTGTCAAGGTCACTGAAAGTGTCATTAAAACACAAAAAAAACAAACAAACAAATCTGCAGACTTTTAAGGGTCAAATAAAGAGGAGTCAATATATATTGTAATTTGTTTTTCTACGATGTGTTACCTGGATAGGTTAGATGTTTAAAAAATGACATACACTCTGTAGGTGAAAGAACCATAAGGAGTTTCAATGGAAAGTTTCTGACCCTTCACAATACCCACTAATTGGAAATAAAAAGATATGGTATTATTTAATGTACGTGAGACAACCACATCATGTACTCTATCTGTTTGTTAAAGGGACATATCTTTTATTGCTGTTCATTTTGATAGATTCAGGAAAATCTTCAGCCATAGGTGGTCAGTGCTCACACCTTACAGATACATATACATATATATTGGAGTAATCAGTAACTTATCAGGAACAACTTGCTAAACCTTTGTTGCCAGAGAAAGTACACTTTTATACAAATGATTTCAAATAAATAGGTTCTCGTATGCCTCTGTATACAGAGAAATGTGCAAAAAACTTTGTAAGTAATGATAATTGAAAGAATGGTTTTATATCTTACTTCAGAGAAAGTATACAAGCTATTGAATATGACTTAAATATCTATTTCTCAGATTTAGAGATGTACCTGGCTTGGATACAGTTGTTCCACTGGAAAGTACAGCAGCTTATGACATCAAAGATGTTATTCTTGGTGTAAGTATAATACTGTAAAAATGTCATTGTATCATCTGTAAATAGACAGTTTCTGTAAATAGACAATTGTCTATTTTTTAGAGGCTAATTATGAAGTTCGAAAGGTTTCCAGGTTGATTACAGGTGCCAAAACTTTTTTTGAAACTGGAAACCTTTTAAACTTATGGGACTTATAGTTTCATGCATTGTATTTGAGGTCTATCCTGTATGGGTTTGGCATCTTCTTCCATCATCAGAAATGAACTTGTTGAAATTTAAGCTACCAAGAAGAGAAAACTCGAATGCTACAATACATGTACTAGCTTTAGTCATATTTGCTAATTTTTAAAAATTGCATTCAAAAATTGCTGAATTTTTCTTGAGATCCTTTGTACATAATGAATTGTCCATAAAAGAAGAGATGAAACTATCAGACATAAAACACAATTACATAGGCCATCCTCAAAGGTAACATCATGGGAAGGCGTGTTCAACTTTGATCTTTAATTGACAGGGAATGTCAGTTTTCTTTCCGACTACTCCACCAAAAAAACAAGCAACCATAATATAGTAAAGAGGGCTGAAAGTGGCAAACAAAGATAACATCTAGAGTTTATTGTAAGGCATTTAACAATTATTTGGTGCTTATAAAGTGGAATTAGCTGTGAACTTCATGTTCACTGATTTGACCCAAATTCTCCTTTAAGATACTAATATGTATATCCTAATTACAAAAAGTCAAAAAAAAGCAATTAACAATGCATGAATTCATTATCATGTATCAGCATTTCATGCATATTTCAGACCCCATCTAATTATCCATTGAGATGACCTGCAAAGACTGCTGATGATTAAATAACCCTTTATAAACATAGATATAAATATAAATAGACAGACAAGCATGTGCAATATAATCATGACAGATTATTCTTGGTCTGTTTGATTTCATGTTATAGATTAAAAATATATGTAAATCATTGTTTTACCTGTATAGGAATATTTTTTGTCATGTGGTTCAGTCAACGAAACAGTTATTCCTGGTGACTCCCTTGTTTCACTTTTTATTGTTGACATTCTTTTCTTTTTTAATGAAAGAACATGCTGACCACATGCTGGCCACATGTGCAACCAGTCTCCATGAAGGGTTAAGTTAAAGGTTGCATGAATACATGCAAATGAGCTTGAATTATTGGCTTGCTAACCAATAAAACATCAGCAATGGGTTTGTTTTTTAGCTTATTTGGACGAAATTGAACCAAACTGACTGCTTATTACTAATATTATTTCTGTATTTTGCTTTTATAAATAATCATATTTTAATTTTTTGTCTTAATTGTAGCTATTTAAATGTCTTACAAATGTTTATCATCTATAAATGTAGGTAGCTGATGATATGGAATTCTTTGAGATTATGCCTAATTATGCCAAAAATATTGTTGTTGGATTTACTAGAATGAACGGTCAGACTGTTGGTGTGGTAGGAAATCAACCTAAAGTTGCTGCAGGTAAACAAAATGTAAAGAAAAACAAAGCAGACAGTATATGATATAAAAATTCATAAATGAAATATATTGAATAAAAAATTTACACAGTAAAGTTCTCTTCCAAAAAATGATTGTTTGTTTAAACCCTTGTTTTTTATTAATTTTGCTCTAAAAATCATGTAAGGATATCACACAAATAAGTGAAAATAGGTCTTGCTGGATGTGTCAGAGTTGGTAAATAACAAGAAACAAAAAACAGTTTTATGCCGTCATTGTATGACATTTAGAGCATTAAATGTTTCCCTTTTCTATCCCATTCTAGTTTCTGTTCAATAACTAAAATTATCCATGACCAACTATTCTGACTTAGGAAATACTGTTCTGGTTCAATTTTGACATCTTTTTTGTTGTCTTTAATGATTTATGTATGCCCTTTGAATATTCTGAAAATTTCAGTTTGCATTCAATAAATGACCTTAGCCCTGACCAAATAATTAGATATTTGGAAATATTGTATGGAACAATTTGAAGTTCAAGTCATCTCGAATGTATTTCATATTTGTAGATACTGAGTTATGCTTCTTGATTATGTGGAAAATAGCCCTTTTCCAGGTTTTCATTCAGTTTCCTGAGTTTGATTCAACCAAATCCTCATAATGTTTGGAAGTTCAAAAAATGAAGTCGAGTTTCATCATGTAACACACCTGTTAACTTGCACATTGTTTATGGCCATCCCTGTGGAAAATATCTTTGCATCAGAAATTTTCATTCATCTTCTTAGATATCAAGTAATGATGGGATACAGAATATTACCCATTTTTCTTCCATATTCTAATCCCGTAATACCTTTATTGTCTTAATATGCATAACTTTTCTTTGAAATATTTCCAAGCTAGAAATTCAATAATTTGATCTTTAAAAGCTGACTGTATTTGTGGATCCACAACATGGAGTTAAAAATACATAACAAGTGGTAATAAACAAATCTAAAAACTGTAAGAACGTTTTTTATTAAAATAATTCACTTAAGAATTATGCAATTGTACAATCATGGTAGGGGAAACAACTCTAACTTTATCAATTATTTGCATCCAGAAAATGCTTCTAAAACTTCTAGCATGCTAATCAAGTTAAATACAGCTAGTTGTATAAAAAATAAGTGATATTCAAAGAATAGCCATAGCATTTATACCTCTCTGTTGCTACTATCAGTATGTATAGCATGTAAACATATTGATGCATTGATTTGGTTGATATTTAAAATATAATTGATTTTTAGATAATCCACAATAAAAAAATTGTAAATGCTTAAAAGGATTGATATACAAAAATGATAAGATCATTAGCTTTTAATAGCGATCTATTCAATATAAACCTCTTAGTTAGATCAGTTTAACACAACTTATCTTAGCCTTACTAAATTTGTCTTTTGCATATGTATTACACCCGATCCATAAAACTTGGTTTTTGTCAATACAAAGACCTAATGGTAATTCTATTCCCAAGCATTTTATATCCTTACATACAATCAGTTTCCCAGTAAGATTTAATACATGTATAGTATGATTTTCACAGTCAGAAACTAAAATCATATCTGTAGAGGTTATAGCTATATCATCTGGATAGAAATGATCCTGATCAGAATTGATACTGTTACAACCATTATAGGTCCAATAGAGTTTCCCCCTTTCATCTAACATTACTACCCTACCCTCCCATTCTGTGTTTATAATATCTACAACTAATATCTTATCACTGAAAGATTGGATTCTATAAGGATATGTTAACAGACTTTCAAATTCAATAGTATTTTGTATGTAACAATCGTGCTTCATAATCACAAGTGTTCTAATACTGTCTTTTGTAGCAGGTATTTTCAAAGATTCTGTCAACCCTATTATTATTTTATGATCTTTAGTGATATGAATACCTAATGTTTTCAATGGAGAAAATGATTTAAATGTGTTTAATTGTCCATCTTTGGTATATAGTTTTATTTCACTTCCTTCAGATGATACAAGTATTTCTCCATCCTGTGTCTTAGCCATATCATACACTTTAATCTTAATTTCTCTTTCTACTTTGATACGATGGTTATAAAATTTGACTTTTTGTAGTTTTTGACTAGAATAACTTCCTATCAAGGCACAGTTGTCACTACAGAATATTATATTTGTCACATTTTGAATAGCACTTTGATAAGAGTGTATCAGTTCTAAGTCTGGCACTGTATAAAGATCACCAAGCACTGACTGACTCCCTAATTTCCTTTGCATATTGGCAGGAATGAACTTTACTCCATTATGTTTGATTTTTTTAACTGGATACTTTGTCAATGGAGAGAAAATGTCTGCCACTTGATGATACTGCTTTGCTTGGTTTAGGTTGTTGATTCTGGTTTCCAACTTATCCTCGTTCTTTTTCATGGCAGACAGTTCAGCTTTAATCATATTTTCTGATGATTTTGATTTTGCTTCAAGTTCTTGTAAAAGGTCGTTAGCATATTTTGTAATAGCCTCTTTCATTTCTTTCTCAGTTTGTTTAATAGCTTCCTTTGTTTCTTGAAATGTTTTATCCCCATCTGAGAGTATTTTGTTCAGTTTGTCTTTTGTATTTCTGAGGAACTGAAGATTTGATTCCAATTTATTTAATAGTTCCTTTTTTTCAGAGATAATATCATTATACACTTCATCCAGGCCTTTATAATTGTGTAGTTTATGAGTCTCAGTTAAACATTTGGAACAAGCTGGCTGACTGCAGTCTTTACAGTAGACGAAACACTTTTGTTGACTATGCATTGTACATACTATGTTTTCAAGATCCACTTTACGCAGTGAAGGGTCAACATCCTCTGTTTCAATTCGTTTAAAATTGATAATTTCATGTTCCATAGATGCCTTGCTTTTACTGTGTATCTTTAAACTGCACAGTTGACATAGAAATAGTTCACAGTTAATACACTTCCATTTAATTTCTGGAGATTCTTCACAGAACTGACACACAGCCAGAGTTTGGGCTTTTCCATTAGACATAGAAAATGCCTTTTTTATGATCAGTCCAGTTAAAATGGGTGGCTCAAAATAACAGGATTTGCTCTGTCGTCGTAAGATAATTTTCGCAGATAAAATCAAAATTCACTGATAAAATCAAGATCACTTCATATGATACATTTTAAAGTAAATACCAAATTTGTTTTTATCATTCAAATGTTTAAAGAATAGATAACAGTAAATGTGATGTTAACTAATATATTAATTTGGAGGAAATTGATAGGAAACAAAAGGGAGAAAAGGTATAAATAAATGTGATAAAGAGCAAAAATGAAGCATAATATATATATATATATATATATATATATATATATACAAGTCTAAACAACAGCCCAACAATGTTAGATATTTTTTGTTCTTCCCTGGCCAGGATTCGAACTCATGCTACTGAGATATCGTGGCACCAAATGGCCTTGCACTATGGCGGACGCGCTAGACCACTCGACCACCTAGGCTCTATAATTATAAAGCTACTTGGGCTGTTGTTTAGACTAATTATATATACAGAATGTATTTTCAGCCTTGTATCACCATCACTGCTAGTGATCGGATGGATAAAATCTGTTGTAGAGTCGTCGCTGGTTCAGATGTACTTATATATATATATATAGATTCCTAACATCACTGAAGAGACATTAATTGTCGAAATCCGGATATGGTGTACAAATTTTTGCACCTCATGTTTGCGGTATACCATCTTTTCCGCAAGTTTATTGTTTTCTGTTTGGTAATAATTTAATAATAAGATCTGTTTTGTTACATCTTGTGATCCGTTTATTTGGCAATCGCCTATGGCAGTCAGCAGGGTTTAAGAACATCATTTGTTCGACCTGCTAGTCAAATGCGTTTTGTTAAAATATACTTTTTCACTCATTTGGTCTTTTGGAAAATGTTGTTTGTGCTGTATTTAGACCCCTCTATCAAGAATTTTTTTTTTCATGCACACGTATAAAAATTGCGGTTTTTATCCAACGCAATCATAGGTTTGAACGTTGTTTTCAATTTAGACTTGTTTTTTGTTGGGCTGATGTTGAAACGAGTTGTATATACAGAATGTACACAGCCATGTATCACCATCACTGCTGGTGATCCGATGGATAAATCTGTTGTAGAGTTGTCACTGGTTCAGACGTAAACATCAGCCCAACAATGTTAGATCTGTAAATTTTCGCAAATTTACAGATTTAACATTGTTGGGCTAATGTTTAGACGAGTTATATATATATATATATATCCATAATGTTTAATTTTTTATAATAAGAAAATCATCTGCAGTACATGTTATTTTACCAAAAAAGGCTGAACAATAAAGTTGCTTTTGTTGTAGCTGTGATTATCACATCACATATGTCTTTTAGTTAATCTAAAAATGAAATATTCAGTATGATAAATTTAAGAATGATTTATTACTCCTCCTCATTCTGAAATTGTTCAATTCATGGTAGAAGAAATCCAGTTTTTAGATCACCTTGGCTAAAGCTTCACTTTAACTAATGTCACGGAAAAATCACATTTTGCATGTATATATATATGTCTAAATTGAAAACAACGTTCAAACCTATGATTGCGTTGGATAAAAACCGCAATTTTTATACGTGTGCATGCAAAACAAATTTTCTTGGTAGAGGGGTCTAAATACAGCACAAACAATATTTTCCAAGAGATCAAAAAAGTGAAAAAGTATATTTAAACAAAAAGCATTTGACTAACAGGTCGAACAACGGATGTTCTTAAACCCTGCTGACTGCCATTGGCGATTGCCAAATAAACATAACAGAATGGATCTTTATTATAATTTAATACCAAACAGAAAACAATAAACTTGCGGAAAAGATGGTATACCGCAAACATGAGGTGCAAAAATTTGTACACCATATCCGGATTTCGACAATTAATGTCTCTTCAGTGATGTTAGGAAACGAAACGGTATTTGGAAGGCCATATAATTTACCTCAATTTGGGATAGACTATTGAATTTTGAAGAGTCAAAATAGGATGAACGGATCATATAAACACGAAGGCAAATATAATACAATCCCAAACGAAAAAATATAAATATGTCTAAATTGAAAACAACGTTCAAACCTATGATTGCGTTGGATAAAAACCACAATTTTTAGATGTGTGCATGCAAAACAAATTCTCTTGGTAGAGGGGTCTAAATACAGCACAAACAACATTTTCCAAGAGACCAAAAAAGTGAAAAAGTATATTTAAACAAAACGCATTTGACTAACAGGTTGAACAACGGATGTTCTTAAACCCTGCTGACTGCCATTGGGCGATTGCCAAATAAATGGATCACAAGATGTAACAGAACGGATCTTTATTATGATTTAATACCAAACAGAAAACATATTGTATGTATATATTTTCAGGTTGTTTAGATATAAATGCGTCAGTCAAAGGTGCCAGATTTGTCAGATTTTGTGATTCCTTCAACATTCCTATAGTAACATTTGTAGATGTACCTGGATTTTTACCTGGTAAGTTGTTTAAAAATTGTAAAATACTTTGTTACTTCAAATAAGATTGATAATATTCAGTGTAGCAACAATGCTTAAAAATTTATAAAGCCTATGATGTGAGAACATATTTGCTTCGTAGTTGTAAATGTTAATTGAAAAAAAAACTTATTTGCCTCCGAGACTACAAATCTATGAGTAGTGAATCATATAACTAGTACATCAAAATTGGAGAAAAACAGTCTTTTTAAGTTTTGAGATAAATATGATATTGATTTTAGTGCACATGAGCTTTGTAATTTTGAATAGACTTGATAAGGTCACTTCAAAAGAAAAGTTTAGGTAGCCAAATGCACAAGAGAAGACCAAGAACTGGTTCAAACAGAACAATGTGTTGTATCCCTAGTATTTGATGCATAAATATAGTTTATAAACCAAAAGTTTGCAATAAGAATATGTCATTTGAATCATGACAGTGTACTTATTATGTCTTCTCAGGAGAGTCCCCTGGTTTAAGGAACATTTCATAATGGTAAAATGGATCCATATAGTGGTGAATAAGTGAGAAACTTTTGACGATATTTTCAAAAGTTCGACTTTGACCTCTCCTACAGGGTACTGGCTTTATGGGGATTGCAAAATTGGTATAAAATATTTGGAGTTTGCCTCTGAAATAGGGGGCTTATCAGAGGAGAATATGCATTATTTATCTTGCGGTTTCTTATTTTATGGAAATGTAAAAAAAAGAATATATAAGAAGTTATTTGAAATTTGAGTTTGTTAATTTGAACAAAGTAATGTTTCAAAGCAATTAACCATGACCATGAACTACAATATTTCTTGTGTTTATTGCAGGTACTGGACAGGAATATGGAGGAATCATCAGGCATGGTGCTAAATTATTATATGCTTTTGCTGAGGCTACTGTTCCTAAAATAACAGTTATCACTAGAAAGGTAGATCAACTTATACAGGAAATACTTAATGAAAATATAGTGACAAATACTTAATATATGCTTTTTTCTTCTTCCCAACTGACAGTTAACAAACTGTGATTGAAACTTATGTTTTTTCTAAAATCTACAATTGGTTTTCTCCTTTAACTTTTACTATACAAAACATAAAATATATTGGCATCATCAGTATCAATATATTCTGTATCTAACATAAAAAAAAAATAAACCAAGCAATACATGAACACTTTAGCAAGCTTGTACTGGTGGACAAACTAAATGAAATCTTGCTTGTTATAAATATGTTGTAACTGGTCAGTAAGGTTATATGTTTCATCCATTTGTAGGCTTGTTATAAATACGTTGTAACTGGTCAGTAAGATTATATGTTTCATCCATTTGTAGGCTTGTTATAAATACGTTGTAACTTGGCAGTAAGGTTATATGTTTCATCCATTTGTAGGCTTGTTATAAATATGTTGTAACTGGTCAGTAAGGTTATATGTTTCATCCATTTGTAGGTATACAAAATAACTTTTAACAGTTAAATTTGACTTTTTCAGGCTTATGGTGGAGCATATGATGTGATGAGTTCTAAACATTTAAGAGGAGATACAAACTATGCTTGGCCAACTGCAGAGGTAGCTGTCATGGGTGCAAAGGTAAAGTTGATGAATTTCAATAAATATGTCAATATTTAAATTTTCTAGAAGCTAATATGTCAATTATGAAAGTTCTTACTTTCTACAAGAGATTCTATGTGAAAGTGTTATAACTTACCTAGCTCACATATGAGCAGAGCAATGGTACAAAATGTCAATTTATTATCAAAAGAAACCATTTTACTTAGGGTGTATTAGGGTAGTAAGGTACTTTTATTAAAATTGATTGATGGTGATTATTTTAGAAAGAAGGCCCGAACAATTAAAGGAAATATTTAAAGTCTGATTGTTCAAAGAACAGTTGGTGTTTCCACCTCGCATGTTGATAATCAAGGTTTAAGGATGTTCGCTCCTCTTGTTTTTGAATTTTTACCAGATATTCGGAATCCTCTGGTTTTAACATGTAGTGCCAGAAAAAACCTACTTTTCTTTTCCTAATTAGTCCCCTACAGAAGTAGTTGAGGGGACTTTAGGTTTGCACTCCGTCCTTCTGTCTGTCTGTCTGTCTGTCCATCCGTCAGTCTGGCAACTCAGTTTTCCCCTGTTTTTTCATCATATTTTAAGATATTGATTTGATAATTGGTATATAGTTTTATCATGACAAGTTACAGATCAAGTTTGAATTTCCGTTCTGATGATTTTGTGCAGAGCTATGGTCCTTGGACTTAGAAAATTCACTCAAATAATCAGTTTTCCTCACTTTTTTTCGTCATGCTTGAAGATATGGATTTGATAATTGGTATATAGTTTTATCATGACAAGTTACAGATCAAGTTTGAATTTCCGTTCTGATGATTTTGTGCAGAGCTATGGTCCTTGGACTGAGAAAATTCACTTAAATAATAAGTTTTCTACACTTTTTATGCCCCCGCCGTAGCAGAGGGGGCATTTAGTTTTACCCTTGTCCGTCTGTACATCCGTCCGTACGTCCCAAAGTTGGTTTCCGTTCTCTAACTTTAGATTGCCTCAACCAAATGTTATGAAACTTATACACAATGCTTATTACCACTAAATACAGATAAAGTTTGAATTTTGGTGGCGTCACTTTAACCGTTCTAGAGTTATGCCCCTTTACAAATGGAAAAATTGCTAAATTTTTTGTTTCCGTTCTCTAAGTTAAGTTTGCCTCAACCAAATGTTATGAATCTTATACACAATGCTTATTACCACAATATACAGATCAAGTTTGAATTTTGGTGCTGTCACTTTTACTGTTCTAGAGTTATGTCCTTTACAAATGGAAAAATTGCTGAATTTTTCATTTTTTTTTCTAAATATCAAGTATTTTTTAAATTGGAGTTATCTTTCTTTGTCCATGATTATAGTTGAATCAACTACAATCAATGCTTTATACAATGCAATGTTTAATTTTACCTTCCATTGATAAATTAAAGCAATGTTTACCCTTCAGTGCTTACAAGCACTTTGATTACTGTTCTAGAGTTATGCCCATTTACAAATGAAAAAATTGCTGAATTTTTTGTTTCCGTTCTCTAACTTGAGTTTGTCTTAAATTAATGTAGTGAAATGTATATATAATGCTTTTTACCACAAAACTCAGTTTAATTTTTTGTTTCCGTTCTCTAACTTTAGTTTGTCTCAACCAAATGTTATAAAACTTATACACAACCGTTCTAGAGTTATGCGTATTTACAAATAGAAAAATTGCTGAATTTATAGTTTCTGTTCTCTACTTAGTTAGCCTCAACCAAATGTTATGAGACTTACACACAATGCTTATTACCACAAAACTCAGATCAAGTTCAAATTTGGGTAGCGTCACTTTTACCGTTCTTCAGTTATGTCCCTTTATTACTATATGATATGCAAGCGGGGGCATTCATTTTTTTCTGCTTTTTTAGTTCCTTTATTCTTATACTTTCAATTTATAGCAGTCTTTTAAAAAGCTTGTTATTTTGAAACAGAGTAGCGAACATACTTAAATCAACTTATTTTGAAACAGAGTAGCGAACATCCTTAAATCAACTTTGATACTGATCTGCAAATAATTTTTTTTAATTACAAAAAAATAACCTTTGTAAAAAATTAAAAAAACATGTCACTAGATAACTTATCTTGAAAAGATTCCAAAAATGTAAAGTTGAGAGTTTTTTTCTTTGAAATATTGGAGATGAAAGGCTCCATCCAGTTTAAAATAGTCACTTATGTTGTTAACTTATTTTTCATGAATTCCCAAAATAAATGGTTTCTATGTATTTCCCATTGAAATTAGGGAGATAATTGTCTACTTCTGTTGTACAAAAGCCATTTCCAGTGTTATATGATAGTTTTCATAAAAAAGTTGCGAAAAATATTTGGTTTCTATACTTTTGCTTGAAATAAGGGAGATAATTTGCTACAGTATTTTTCGGTTTACTGACTGTCTCAGAAAACTTAAATATCCTAGGTCTATTATATACATTGTTAAAAATTGATCCTACCAAACAGCTTATTTTGAATATTTAAAGGGGAGAACTCATATAGAAAGTCAGCAGAACACTTTGGACCAAATGTATTTACATTGCATCATATCACAACTAAAAATTTGACAAAAATCTAAAGTTGATAACTTTTTACCATGTTTACTTTTCCGAGGAGTTGCGATTTCCTGCTTATAGACTTAAGAATCTCATGTCAAGAGCGTTAGGTTTCTATAATTTACTGTTTATTTGTTACATCAACATGCCAGTCATGTCAAACATAAAAAGGGAACTCTCATTTCATGTAACCGGACTGCTTTAGTCCAAATTTAATAGATCAGCCTATGGGAGTATTAAACAGTAAGAAAAACTTTAAGAGATAAATATATTGCTTTCTGAAAAGATGCTTTAGAAATAAAAACAGTAAAGGGGAGATAACTGCCATAAGGAAAAGTGTTCGTTTAATTAAGGTGAGTTTCAAAAGTGCAATAGCTGTTCGATATCATATCGACTTGGTGGTGCAAATTAGAATAGACATTTCAGAAACAAAAGTGGCTGAAAATACATACAAAATTTTATTCATTCTTTTCTGTTTCTATTTAGGGAGCTGTGTCTATTATATTCCGTGGTAAAGATCAAGCTAAAAATGAAGCAGAATATGTGGAGAAGTTTGCTAATCCCTTCCCAGCAGCTGTCAGAGGTAAAAGATTTCTGTGCAAATCCTTTATGGAAAGCTGTTAAGAGTTCAAAGATTTCAGTTCTTATCACTAATCAGCAACTACATGGGTTAAAAGATTTCAGTGCTAATCCTTGCTTATCAGCTACAAGGGTTAAAATATTATAGTGCTAATCCCTGCTCAGCAACTACAAGGGTTAAAAGATTTCAGTGCTAATCCCTGCTCATCAGCTACAAGGGTTAGAAGATGTCAGTGCTAATCCCTGCTCATCAGCTACAAGGGTTAAAATATTTCAGTGCTTATCCCTGCTAAGCAACTACAAGGGTTAAAAGATTTCAGTGCTAATCCCTGCTCATCAGCTACAAGGGTTAAAAGATTTCAGTGCTAATCCCTGCTCATCAGCTACAAGGGTTAAAAGATTTCAGTGCTAATCCCTGCTCAGCAACTACAAGGGTTAAAAGATTTCAGTTCTTATCCCTGCTCAGCAACTATCAGGGTTAAAAGATTTCAGTGCTAATCCCTGCTTTGCAACTACCAGGGTTAAGATATTTCAGTGCTAATCCCTGCTCTGCAACTACCAGGGTTAAGATATTTCAGTGCTAATCCCTGCTCAGCAACTACCAGGTTTCCACTAAATCAATCAAAATAAACTTAAGTTATGATACAATATGTGAAAAATTTACTAAAATCTCACAATTAAAGTCCTATAACTCTGGAGCGACAAACCTGAAAATTACATAAATTACAGGGGAGGTTCCTTTCATCCATCCCCACAATAATGTAAAGTTTGAGGAAATCAATTCAGGAATACTGGAATGAGTTCATGATTTGTGAAAAGTTGTTAAAGTTCGGTAACTCTGGAATGACAAATCAAAAAATAAAAAAAAGCGAAAGGGAGCTTTCTACTGTCTATTCTAACTTAGTGGTAAAGTTATATTAAATTAGTTGAAGCGAATATGAAGTGTGACGGATAGACGGAAATACATTGGTAAACCAAAATACGTTGCGTCTTCGATTTGCATATAAAAATATAGTATGATAATGTGTTACTTAATAGACATCAATAATACACATTAGATACATGGCAAACAACACATAAAAAGACAAATGGAAAAATTCTCAAATTTCAAAACTGCAATATTATAGCAACATCACAAAATCACAAGTAAATGGGCACTTCTCTGTTATGTCTCGCCATTTTCTCCTCTCAAATTGAGAAATAGAAGTCACTTCTTCATATGATTCTGGTTGCAAATATATATGTGAAAAAGTTACCACTCTGAGTTACAAATTAGGTTGCCCAAACAATAAAATGTAATTCCGTGTGATATTTATGTTAAACTGAAAGTACAACATGTCAGATTGATATATGTGTTAAAATATCAATGATATCCATTTATATACCCGGTATATATCTAAAGTCATGTCTATATATCATTTTAAGCTACCTGTATAAATTGTAAGATTTTGAGAAGTCATTGCAAATAATGATATATGGTTTTATTTTAGGTTTTGTTGATGACATTATAGAACCTCGTTCAACTCGAAGAAGAATCTGTCAAGACTTGCAAGTACTGGCTAGCAAGAAGAGAGAAAACCCATGGAAGAAACATGCTAATATGCCATTATAAATTAGACTGTGTTGTTTTTTGATTGAACTAAAGTGGAGCAATGCTTGCTTAGACCTGAACTGGATCCAGGATCAAGATTGTATTTAGGGAAGAAGCAAGTTGTCGGTTTTATATTTTCTGAGGATTGAATATCAAATATTTTAGTACAGTTGAAGGAATAGAAAAGTACTGTATCTTTAGATGTATGCAAGATCCAAGTTTGGATGTATGTGCATGGGAAAATGTGTTTTGTTTTTATACGACCGCAAAAATTAAAAATTTTTTGGTCGTATATTGGTATGACGTTGGCGTCGTCGTCGTCGGCGTCATCGAAGACACATTGGTTTTCGCACTCTAACTTTAGTTTAAGTGAATGGCTCTCCATAAAATTTTACCATAAGGTTCAATACCACGAAAGGAAGGTTGGGATCGATTTTGGGGGTTATGGTACCAACAGTTAAGGAATTAGGGGCCAAAAATAAGCATTTTTGTAACTTCCAGACAATAACTTGTGTGTAAGTGTATGGATCTCTCTGACATTGTACCACAAGGTTCCATATCACAAAGGGAAGGCTGTAATTGATTTTGGGGGTAATTGCCTCAAAATTTTAGGAATTAGGGGCCAAAAAAGGGGCAAAAAAACAAGCATTTTTCTAGTTTCATGACAATAACTTGAGTGTAAGTGTTTGGATATTTCTGAAATTGTACTACAAGGTTCCATATCACAAAGGGAAAGCTGGAATTGAGTTTGGGGGTAATTGCCCGAAACGTTTAGGAATTGGGGGCCAAAAAGGGGCCAAAAATAAGCATTTTTCTAGTTTCCAGACAATAACTTGTGTTCAAGTGTATGGATCTCTCTGAAATTGTACTGCAAGGTACCATACCACAAAGGGAAGGCTGGGATTGAGTTTGGGGGTGATGAATCATAAGGGGGTTCAAAAAATTTGGGGGGGGGATTTTTTTTTTTCTTTTTTTTTCTTTTTTTCATTTTTTTTTTCTTTTAAAATTTTGCATTTTAAGTTGGTTATTTCTGATTTATATTTGAAGCAAATAATAATGACATGGTAGGAGATACACACCAAACAGGATGTGTAAATTATTATATAATAAGTATTGTGCAATAGCAAGAAATTTTCAATTGCACAGTATTGCACAATAGCAAGAAATCTTCAATTGCACAGTATTGCGCAATAGCAAGAAATCTTCAATTGCACAGTATTGCGCAATAGCAAGAAATATCCAATAGCACAATATTGCGCAATAGCAAGAAATTGTCAATTGTACAGTATTGCGCAATAGCAAGAAATATTCAATTGCACAGTATTGTGCAAAAAGAAGATACTTCGTATAAATTGCTTATTTCTTGATCAATTTCAATGGGGTTTTATTCTTGAATTCTTGGGGTTCTTTAATATGCTGAATCTAACTGTGTATTAAGTTTTTGGATTTTGGGCCCCGTTTTTAAATTGGTCCACATTGAGGTCCAAAGGGTCCAAAATTTAACTTTGTTTGATTTCATCAAAAATTGAATTATTGGGGTTCTTTGATATGCTGAATCTAACCGTGTATTTAGATTCTTAATTTTTGGTTCCGTTTTCAAATTGGTCTACATTAAGGTCCAAAGGGTCCAAAATTAAACTTAGTTTGATTTTAACAAAAATTGAATTTTTAGGGTTCTTTGATATGCTGAATCTAAACATGTATTTAGATTTTTGATTATGGGCCCAGTTTTCAAGTTGGTCCAAATCGGGGTCCAAAATTAAACTTTGTTTGATTTAAAAAAAAATTGAATATATGGGGTTCTTTGATATGCTGAATCTAACCATGTATTTAGATTTTTGATTTTTGGGCCCCGTTATCAACTTTGTCCACATTGAGGTCAAAAGGGTCCAAAATTAAACTTTGTTTGATTTCATCAAAAATTGAATTCTTGGGGTTCTTTGATATGCTGAATCTAACCATGTATTTAGATTTTGGATATTTGACCATAATAGGTGAATGTCCAATTTAAAATTTTTAAGTTCTTAGACCACATTCATTCTGTGTCAGAAACCTATGCTGTGTCAAATATTTAATCACAATCCAAATTCAGAGCTGTATCAAGCTTGGATGTTGTGTCCATACTTGCCCCAACTGTTCAGGGTTCGACCTCTGCGGTCGTATCAAGCTGCGCCCTGCGGAGCATTTTATTAAATAGTGAAATCTTATTTCTTTATTCTTATAGTAGTTTTTTTTTCAAAATGAAGTATTTCTCTCATGGGCATTTGTATGTTTTTTTTCTAGTATCAGAAACAAGTTACTATGTTAAAGATGTATAGTATTGTTTGTATATTTATAGCCTCTAACCTAAAAGGGTATCTGTTGAAGATATGAATCATGTATACAGCATTTTGTATCATAGCAGTAGAGACATAAATATAATGTATGGCTTTAATAAGATATTTGTATAAAATATATTATGATATCACACAAAACATGAGATGCTTGCATGGAATTTGATGTCAATATAGACCATACGAGTAACATGGACATTTTTTGTAACAGAAGGGTTAATTTTCCATTTTACATTACCAAAGTGAATTGCAAACAAAACATTTTAAAACAGTTGAATCAATGCATGAATTCAAATTACAAATGTATGTTATCCTTGACCTAATAGTGTGATGTATGAATATCTACTTTGTCGATATCTTGCAACAACTTCATCAATTTCTCTGTATTAGAAAAAACAAAGGATATGGGGTATCCATCCATGACACAAAATCAGTACATGCAAATACCATAAATTCATTGCAGGATACATTTATTAAAAATACTCTTATTTAAAAACTGAATTCCACCTGAATGTAGTTTCATCAATGTGTGTTAGGTTAGTTTTCTCTCAATGATGCTATTGCAGATTCTTCTGAATTTACTATTCATGACAAATGTTAGGACACAGACTCAAATAAATCAAAATGACATTAAAAATGACATTCTTACATTGTTGTCAACGACTTTTAAAGTATAGATCTTTCATCTACTAAATACTAACCATCATGTGATAACATATTTAGACACTTGATAGTACATATACCTTTATGAAAAAATAATTTCAAAAGTTAAAAAATGAGTTATTCTTTCTTAATTTAAAACTTTTTAAATGATTTTTCCTATCTGAGGCTATAGATATACTAATTTTTATAGTAATTTCAAAGTGAAAGAAAACAGATTAATCAAAGGATAGTTTGGTTTTGTTCTTGTGGTAGTTGGTATTGAAAAGGATTGCTGAAAATCTTGGGCTATCATCAAAAGTTGAAGTAAGAATAGAAGAATTGAAGCAATACGAAAAAAGTTATTATTACTGAGAGAAGAATGTAATATACAAGGGTATCAAGTATTCAGCACCTATCAACATTATGCTCCTTTAGAATGGTGTTAACAAAAATTTGCTATTTGTCTGAAATTTATAGTTATATAAGTGCTAATAGTTGTATGTTATTGATATTTTTAAGATTGTTAGCTATCCACCATCTGTGATGATTTATTAAAAATCTAAAACTGATTTGATAATCTTTACTTTTTGTTCTTACCTCACCTGGTCCAAATCTCCTGCGTTAGTTTCTATTAATATTTAATTCAAATATTTTGAATGTTTTTAATCCTTTATAATAAGTTTTGATGGAAGTTTCCACTTTATATACCGGTAAGCAAATTAGGACTAACCTTGGTCTCCGTCATCCATATTAATGTTTGTGAATGATAATCTGTCAACAAATCAACAAAAAATTCATAATTTATTTTTTTAAAGGAGTTATGTTATAATTCTCCGATTAATGGTCTTGTTTTAACCAGAAGCTCATGAAACAATCCCTTAAATGCTGTCTTCTGGAATTTAAAAACTCTTATGACCTAACATGATGGTCAATATAACTGTTGTTAGATATTTAAACATTACTTCCATGTTCACTACAATTGTTTTAAAATTCCATTTCTTTAGGTATTGCTTTACATCCTATATAACTGTCATTGTTGAACATAGTTTACATAGGATGTTATGAGAAAGAATGTTTTGAAATCTCTTCTGATACCACATGAACAGTTATAACCTTAATTAACTTTCGACTCTACTCATCAAAATTAAATATACTTGATCACTTGTAATGTTCAACATGGCTCCTACGAATCAAAACAGAAGTTAAGATAAAAACTCTTTACAGAGAGTCAATTTTTGGAATGAAATGTCCATGGTAAGAGATGTTCTTAAAAAAATTGTAGATTGATCTTGCCATCATCTTTGCCCAATTTCATAAACGCAAGAAGAACTGATCTGTACTTGCAAATAACTTAAATTTAGTGATGAAAAAGCCAAACATATATTAGCTCAGATAACTTTTTCTTTGTTGCTAAATCAGCTCAGATAACTTTTTAGCTCACCGGGGCTCAAAGGGCCCCATGTGAGCTTATGCCATCACTTGGCGTCCGTCGTCATCCGTCGTCATAGTCTGTCGTCGTCGTCTGTCGTCGTAAACTATTTCAAAAATCTTCTCCTCTGAAACTACTGGGCCAAATACCTTCAAACTTTAACTAAATGTTCCTTAGGGTATCTAGTTTATAAATTATATCCGAAGTTTTGATCCATCGACAAACATGGCCGCCATGGCTAAAAATAGAACATAGGGGTCAAATGCAGTTTTTGGCTTATATCTCAAAAACTAAAGCTTTTAGAGCAAATCTGACATGGGGGTAAAATTGTTCAATTGGTCAAGATCTATCGACCCTGAAATTTTCAGACTAATCGAACAACCCATTGTTGGGTTGCTGCTACCGAATTGGTAGTTTTAACAATATTTTGCAGTTTTTTTGTTATTATTTTGAATATTATTATAGATATATATTAACTGTAAACAGCAATAATGTTCAACAAAGTAAGATCTACAAAAAAGTTTATATGACCATAATTGTCAATTGACCCCTTAAGGAGTTATTGCCCTTTAAAGACAATTTTACACAATTTGTTCATCAAGTTTGCTAACATTTAAAAATCTTCTCCTCTGAAACTACTGGGCCAATTACCTTCAAACTTTAACTAAATGTTCCTTAGGGTATCTTGTTTATTAAATGTATCCGAAGTTTGTATCCATCGACAAACATGGCCACCATGGCTAAAAACAGAACATAAGGGTCAAATGCAGTTTTTGGCTCATATCTCAAAAACTAAATCTTTTAGAGCAAATTTGACATGGGGTAAAATTGTTTAGTTGGTCAAGATCTATCGGCCCTGAAATTATCAGACGAATCGAACAACCCATTGTTGGGTTGCTGCCACCGAATTGGTAGTTTTAACAAAATTTTGCAGTTTTTTGTTATTATTTTGAATATTATTATAGATATATATTAACTGTAAACAGCAATAATGTTCAACAAAGTAAGATCTACAAAAAAGTTTATATGACCATAATTGTCAATTGACCCCTTAAGGAGTTATTGCCCTTTAAAGACAATTTTACACAATTTGTTCATCAAGTTTGCTAACATTTAAAAATCTTCTCCTCTGAAACTACTGGGCCAATTACCTTCAAACTTTAACTAAATGTTCCTTTAGAGAGCCTCTTGTTCTTTATAGCTAAATCGGCTCAGATAACTTTTTCTTTATAGCTAACTAAGGCGGTTTTGTAAGAGAAGTACTTATTTTCATTAACCCATTTTGGAGTTATTGCCCCATAAATGTTGGTTTTTAACTTTTTTGGCATTTCCTTGCCATTGTTTCAAAAACTATAGGAGTTTGTTTAAAAGTGTAAATTGCAAAAATGATGTACCCTCCCTGAAAATTGATAAAATCTTAAGTACTTGTTTTGGATTTTTCCCTTGAAATAACTTTCTTTTTCCAATTTTAGCATTTATTGGCATTTATTGTGAAAATTTTAGGGGCTAGCTTAAAAGTGTAAATTGCAAAAAATCATACTGACTAAATCTATTTACTTTGAAAAAACAATAGGAGCCAGGTTAGAATTGCAAACAATGATCAGCAATACAAGAGAAACTATAGTATGTTCCTTAACTTACTGGAAATATCTGTATATAACCAATATGGGATACAAAAATAGTCGTACATGATATTTTACCATATATACCATAAAATTAGTGCTTTCAACACCTTCAAAAAACTATAATCTGTTTTGGTGTTTTTAACTGAAATTTGTTCTAGTAAATGAAATTAGAAGAAGGATGATACTTATATTGCTCACAACAATAAAGGGTGGTCTGACACAGGCACTTGTCTCAGAAAAAAAATTCCTATATACCTTTATATAACATTAAGGTATATAGGGGGAAAATTCTGAGACAAGTGCCTGTGTGGTCTGACTAAAGTTCAAATGTCTACCGTAAGGTTGGAATGTCTCTCAAGGTCACAAACTTAGTTCAACATTACACCACCATATCAAAGTTTACAAAGTTGTGTCCTTCTCAGAAGTTTTAAAAGCTTTGAGGGATAAATGACACTTGGTATTTTTGAAACCACCTTCAGAGAGTGTGTCACATATTGAAGGTCAAAGACATCTCTGATAAATTTTCTTATAAATGTTCTGAAAATCAGATAAAAGAGGCTTGATAATGATGGTGGATGGATGGCAAATTAAACGACTATTCAGATTGAGAACATGTTAATGGAATATGTTAACTTGTAAATATTTAGGCAGCAGTAATTTCACAAGTTAAGAACAGATTTCTAAACAAAATAAAAACTACATGAAAGAGAGAAAACTTCACTTTCATTAGACCAGAACATCAAACCCTTTCAAACAAATTAACATTCTCTCCCTCTCAAACTTACTTCTTTACATACCACTCTCAATATTACTCATCCTTTCAATTCGTCTTTTTCTCCCATCTTAACATACCCCTCTCATTATTTACCCTCACCCTCTCAATTCTTCCTATTTTCTCGAATCCATACCAACCTTAGCCAACTACATTAGCCTACCCAATGTTAGCTACTCCTATGAAAAGTTTGTTAGTTGACAAAAAAAGATTTTTAATCATGAAGTACTGCATGGGCATGGAAGTTTAAAATTCCAACATTGAAAAGAAGATCAAAACAAATCTGGAAAAAATTATTTGCATTGAACCAATTTTGAAGTGTAGTTTTTATTTTCAATATTAAATGGTTATCATATCATTTCTTAAAATGTAAGGTAACAGCCAAAGTTACAATAAGCCAAAATGTGTGATGCAAATTTAGAAAAAGAAATTATCCTTGGATAACCATTTTGCAGCCAAAATATGTATTTTACTAAAAGGTGTTGAGAATATTATTAAAAAGAAAATTTAAAACAAAAAATAAGAAAAAGGCAAAAGTCCAAAAGTAAAAATGTCTTAAAAGTATTAAAAATGCCAAATGGTACAAAAAATACCTGTCTGCTTGTACTAGCCAGCTGGCCTGTGGGTTATCTGAACTTTAAGGTGCTAGTTCACCAAGACAAATGCCCGCAGTAAGACACCTGCCTCTTCCTTTCGGAGTTCCAGTTTTTTAAGTCTTTGATTTGAATTTGGCATGAATTATAAAGCCAAGTTTTAAAACAATTAAATGACCATTTAAAACTTTGATAAATCAATAGAATTACCCATTTCAAATTTCAATAAAAACACTAAAATATCCCCAATTAAAATTTGGATAAAAAAGTAAAATATCCCATGTTAAAAATGAATAAAAACAGAAAAACTTCCCCAATTGAAATTTGGGTAAAAACAGTAAAATATCCCAATGTAAAATTTAAAATAAGTTCGTATTTTGATAAAAACAGTTAAACATCCCCAATTAAAGTTTTGGTAAAAACAGTTAAAAATCCCCAATTAAAGTTTTGGTAAAAACAGTTAAACATCCCCAATTAAAATTTTGATAAAACTAAAATACCCCTTTTAAAATTTTGATAAAAATAGTAAAACAGTCCAAATTAAAATTTGGATAAAAACAGTAAAACATCCCTAATAAAAATTTGGATATAAAAAGGTAAAATATCCCTAATTAAAATTTGGATAAAAAGGTAAAATATCCCTTTTAAAATTTGGATAAAAACAGTAAAATATTCCCAATTAAAATTTGGATAAAAACAGTAAAATAATCCCAATTAAAATTTGGATAAAAACAGTAAAACATCTTAAATTAAAATTTGGATAAAAACAGTAAAATATCCCCAATTAAAATTTGGATAAAAATAAACATCCCTTTTAAAATTTGGATAAAAACAGTAAAATATCCCTTTAAAAATTTGGATAAAAACTGTAAAATATCCCCTATTAAAATTTGGATAAAAACAGTAAAATATCCCCATTAAAATTTTGGATAAAAATAGTAAAATATCCCCAATTAAAATTTGGATAAAAACTAAAATATCCCTTTTAAAATTTGGATAAAGACAGTAAAATATTCCCAATAAAAATTTGGATAAAAACAGTAAAATATCCCCAATTAAAATTTGGATAAAAACATTAAAACATGTCAAATTAAAATTTGGATAAAAACAGTAAAACATCTCAAATTAAAATTTGGATAAAAACAATAAA